GTTTTGGGGCTGTCGCTGGGCAACACGGACTTTCAACTCCCTCCAAAGATATTCAATGGGGTTGAGATCTGGAGACTGGCTAGGCCACTCCAGGACCTTGAAATGCTTCTTACGAAGCCACTCCTTCGTTGCCCGGGCGGTGTGTTTGGGATCATTGTCATGCTGAAAGACCCAGCCACGTTTCATCTTCAATGCCCTTGCTGATGGAAGGAGGTTTTCACTCAAAATCTCACGATACATGGGCCCATTCATTCTTTCCTTTACACGGATCAGTCGTCCTGGTCCCTTTGCAGAAAAACAGCCCCAAAGCATGATGTTTCCACCCCCATGCTTCACAGTAGGTATGGTGTTCTTTGGATGCAACTCAGCATTCTTTGTCCTCCAAACACGACGAGTTGAGTTTTTACCAAAAAGTTCTATTTTGGTTTCATCTGACAATATGACATTCTCCCAATCCTCTTCTGGATCATCCAAATGCACTCTAGCAAACTTCAGACGGGCCTGGACATGTACTGGCTTAAGCAGGGGGACACGTCTGGCACTGCAGGATTTGAGTCCCTGGCGGCGTAGTGTGTTACTGATGGTAGGCTTTGTTACTTTGGTCACAGCTCTCTGCAGGTCATTCACTAGGTCCCCCCGTGTGGTTCTGGGATTTTTGCTCACCGTTCTTGTGATCATTTTGACCCCACGGGGTGAGATCTTGCTTGGAGCCCCAGATCGAGGGAGATTATCAGTGGTCTTGTATGTCTTCCATTTCCTAATAATTGCTCCCACAGTTGATTTCTTCAAACCAAGCTGCTTACCTATTGCAGATTCAGTCTTCCCAGCCTGGTGCAGGTCTACAATTTTGTTTCTGGTGTCCTTTGACAGCTCTTTGGTCTTGGCCATAATGGAGTTTGGAGTGTGACTTTGAGGTTGTGGACAGGTGTCTTTTATACTGATAACAAGTTCAAACAGGTGCCATTAATACGGTTAGATTATTTAAAAAATATCACGGTTTACTATTTCGGTTTCGAGTGTTTTTGTAAACATTAAATGCATTATTAAATAATTACATTACATTTGTTTTATGGTAATTCAAAAGCCCAAAATAGTGAACATTGAATTGCCAAAACATTGAAATTATTATATTGTAACTGTCAGGTCCACATTGGGTAGAAAGTAAAGTAAAAATTCCTTCGCTTGCCTGCTATTCGGTGGAGAGGGTGGTGGTCCAAGTCTGGGTTTAAGGATTTAAAACATCTGTCTGAAATGGTAACATTCACTCGCAACACCATGGGCCAGAAAAGGTTGAATACATTGGCCATGCTGTCAATCCAGCATGACTTCGTTCAAAACAACTGGAAACTTGGAACTGGGAAATCTCAGACTTGGCCATGCTGACAACTGGGAACGCTAGCTCCGACTGGGAAAATACGTTTGGGAATCCAACTCAGAATTCCAAACCGGGAACTCTGGCCTCTTTCTAGAGCTCCGACCTGAAGATCACTGAGGTCGAATAATTTTTTTTTGAGTTCCCAGTTGTCTTGAAAGCACCTTTGATGACAAAATTTGCCCACAAGAAGGACCACCGCGCCACCTTCCTGTTCAAGTGAGCACAGCACAACAACGGTGAGTCCAAAAATGTCTTGTATGCTGCTGCTAAATTAGCTGTGATGTGCTTTTCTTCACGAGGACGGCATACTATATACTGTTGTTGGGTCTGTAACCATGTTTGCCAGTGACAGTCTCTTCCCATTCAAATATTTGTTTTCAACTAAAAGTTCAGTAATAGACCCATGTAATTCTAGTTGATATTGCAAGGGTTGTTTTTTGTTTTGCTGTCACCGTTATAGTGAAATTAATGTATTGTTTAGTGTTGTGTAGTGGCTTTGCTGGCTTGCATTTTTTTTTTAAGAGTTTGCCCCACCAAGATTTACATGCTAAAATAGCCACTGTGTACATTCCTCTCTCATGCGGTCTATCTATGCGGTCTGTGTGTATCTATTCTAACGTAATGTAGCAGGCGTAAAAATGTATCCATCTCTGCCTGAGCCGGAAAAAAACAGGTGCAATGGATTATGGTCATTGTAGTTAATTACCACTTTCTGCACTGAACCAGGCTTAATATTTGCTTAATGAAAACTACAACTCCCTTCAGTCCAGCATCCCACATAGTTATTGAGTTGATTTCTCTTGTGAATGATTAGATTTCTCTGTAGAGAAACGGCGGGTTGTGCTCACAAAAAACGTAACTAAATGAAATTCAAGTAATTGACATAGGTCGATTAGTTGTTTAACACCCGGAAATGTCGGTTCATCGCGTAGCACTACTTTGCAGCCTGAATGGAGAATATTTTATATACGAACCGGTCCATGGGGATAACGAGTGTATAGCCGGCTGCATACGTTCCTTTTGGATAGTAAGATGAAACGACGCAATGTCGCCATCTGCCGGCCTTTGGGTTAACCTAGGCCGGGACTAGGCCAGAGATACCTGGTATTGGGCAATGAATGGAGGACCGTATAACACTCCACCCAGCAGACTGTCGACCAATCGTGTATAGATTGTCATGCTGCGTCACGCGGTAGCTAAACTAATCGTCATGCAATCCCTTCTCAAAGTCAGGGTATGGGGTCCACACAAAACATGACATAATACAGAACATGAATAGACAAGAACAGCTCAAGGACAGAACTACATCAATTTTTAAATGTCACACGTAGCCTACATATCAATACATATACACAAAGTATCTAGGTCAAATAGGGGAGAGACGTTGTGCCTTGAGGTGTTGCTTTATCTGTTGTTGTTTTTTAAACCAGGTTTGCTGTTCATTTGAGCAATATGAGATGGAAGGGAGTTCCATGCAATAATGGCTCTATATAATACTGTATGCTTTCTTGATTTTGTTTTGGATTTGGGGACTGTGAAAAGAGCCCTGGTGGCATGTCTGGTGGGGTAAGTGTGTGTGTGTGTGTGTGTGTGTGTTGACTATGCAAACAATTTGGAATTTTCAACACATTCATGTTTCTTATAAAAAGAAGTGATGTAGCCAGTCTCTCCTCAACTCTTAGCCAAAAGAGACTGGCATGCATAGTATTTATATTAGCCCTCTGATTACAATGAAGAGCAAGACTCACTCTGTTCTGGGCCAGCTGCAGTTTAAGTAGGTATTTCCTGTTCCATCAGTGAAATTGCAGGAATACAGTCGCAGACATGCTGGGGGGTTAGGGTGCATGGAGGATTAAACATTTTTTTTTTTTTTACAGCTTTACGGAAGATGGCGAAAGCGGATAATGAAGTGGAATCTGAATACAATGGCGGTAGAATCAATAATAATTGGAGTATTGTTCAAAAGAATGGAAAACGGAGCAAAGTAGGGTACAGTGATGAGAATGACCCTTCATATCTAGTAGGAGTACAGTTTGTTAATAAGGAGCAGCTGAGCAGATGACCAATATTGAAGAAACTGGTGGAGAGAGTGATGGGTAAAGTGAAGGCTGTGAGGATCACGAGAGGCGGGCTTGTTTAGATTTTCTGTGATTCTGCGGAACAGAAGGAACATGCGTTGTGTCTTAACCGATTTGATAAGTTTGAAGTGTTCTGTGTGTCGCTTCGGAACAGGGCACCCCTTAAGGGGGTTATATCTGGCGTTTTTTTTGTTGTCATTTAGCAGACGCTCTTATCCAGAGCGACTTACAGTTAGTGAGTGCATACATTTTTCATACTGGCGTTTCGTGGGAAGTTGATTTGGAAGAGATAAAAAATATTCCTGGAGTGATTGAAGCACGTCAGATGAATTGAGTGGTGAATGTGGGAAAAAGTGAAGAGTTTATCTGTTCTTTTGTTTTTTGAAATGGAGTCTCTCCCTAATGAAGTGCGGTTAGGGTATATTAACTACAGAGTTAGAGCATTTATCCCAAGAACAATGCAGTGTGAACATAGTCCCGTGTAGCTCAGTTGGTAGAGCATGGCGTTTGCAACGCCAGGGTTGTGGGTTCGATTCCCACGGTGGGCCAGTATAAAAACAAAATGTATGCAGTCACTAACTGTAAGTCGCTCTGGATAAGAGCGTCTACTAAATTACATTTTAAAAAAAACATTGTAAAGCTGTTGGCCATGTAGAAAGTGTTTGCAGAAGGGAGAAGCCGAGATGTATAAGATGTGGAAAATATTATGTGAAGACAATGTGACATGTTGTAATCTTCTGAATGCCCCACAAGCGTAAAAGAGAATGAGGTGGCCAAAGTCAGGGTTGAACAGAGCATTTCATATGCAGAAGCTGTGAAAAGGCTTGAGGGTTTGAATGTTGCGCCAGAAGAGTCAATGGTAGTGGATAGGCCTTCACTGCAGTCTGCAGGGGTTGTCTTACACCAAGAGGATCCTGACATTTTAAAGGTTAAAAAGGTGGGCTTTGTGGCCTTTATCGCAATGGTGATAAATGGCACTGCCAAGGTGGAGAAAAGATCTAGGAAGATTGAAATCATTGTGATTGTAGCGGAGCGGTTCCTGGGGCTGAAATATTTCACAGCAAAGGAGTTACATGCCGTATCACCTTCTCAGGTCCTAGAGCCTGAGAAGGGAGATATGGAGAACTAAAAGAAGGAGGAAGTGGGAATTGTGTTTGTTTTGGCAATGTACTATTTTTATTAGGGTGGATTGTTAGAATCACTAAGTATGGATTTATTTATTTTTTTGTTTCAAATCGTCCAGTTGGTGGCGGCAAATATAACTTTTGGATGTATTCTGCCATAAAACCCATAGAAGAAGAAGAAGTTGGGTTGGGGAACTATTGCCTTGGAACAATTCCTTTGGAACTATTGCCTTGGGACATCAGGCCAAAACATGAGGGGAAGCAAGTGTAACACCGAGGGACGTCATTTCCGGGATATTTTCAAAAACGATTTCCTCACATTGGTAGCTAGCTACTTGCCAGCAGTTAAGTTATAATTCTATTCAGTACTTTTTGATAAGCATGTTTCATAAATCTTGAATGAATAATTGTTAATTTGCAGGAATGTTGAGTAACGAGACTTTTCAGAGACAATTATCAACCATTGTCGAGGTATTAGTTGCAGCGGCAGTTGCGGAGATGGGAAGACTCCTCGATGAGTGCTCTGCTGCTGTTATGCCTCTAAAGTTGGTCCAGCAGAATGAGGGAAGTATTTTGCTGAAGAGTAAACTTCAACGTGTGAACAAAACCAGTACAGTGAGTACAACATTTGGTCGGTTACTGTTGGGAAAACGAGTTTGCAGGCGACTGGCGACAAACTTGGCTAGCAAGCAAACTTTTACCAGGGGTGTACAGTATTCATTACGTTGTACAACGGAAACCGTTTAGAACCAAATGGAAGCAAACTGAACGACACTGGGAGTGCCCTAATTTATCCAATAGAAACTCTCGTTTTGTTGCAAAACGTTTCTGGAAAACGAACAAACACTTGCCATTTTTTTAGTTTACTTCAAACGGTAAACGTTTTACAACGAAAACGAGAGTTTATTTGAAAAATTATGGTAGGTCCCTCCCCGTTTCGTTCTATTTGCTTCCGTTTGTTTGTTAAACGGTTTCCGTTACAATACGTAATGCATATACCCCATCTAACGTTAGTTAGCTACCTACTAGCTCACAAACTATGCAGCATTCTGCCTTCTCCCTACAGTTTTCAGCCATTAGTTTCGCCCATGACTGCCTCATGTGAACTACAATCCCGACGCTGTGTTAAGGTTTAGAAACGTCAATAATCATTGCTTCCTGTACTGTTTTTGAAACATATGGCCCCTGGCCTTATCTTTCATCAGGTAGAAAGAATCCTTCAGTTTTTCACAGATCCATACAGCAATGGGTGCCTCTATCCGACGAAACAACACTTCCACTACACTTCCGAGTTACACTTATACACAGGTGGTCGGAACATGCTAGATAGGTAATTAGCACAGGTAGTCGCCTCTTGTCTTAAGTCTCTTTTCTGTAAACAAGCTCTGTAACAGATTGATACGGCCGTGTGGGAACACTAACCCTATCAAGGTGTGTATACATTTTAACCTTTGGTTTTTTGAAAATTATTTCCAGGTGATATGAAAGATAAGGTCCTTATGCTTCCAAAACCGTACCGCAAGCGATGCAAACTGAGCGTCTAGGATCTTAACAAAACTCCCCCTTACAGAAGACTGCTTCGTCCAATGACTTATGTGTAATGGAACTGAGTCATTGTCAAGGGCTAGCTACTTACAGTTGAAGTCGGAAGTTTACATACACTTAGGTTGGAGTCATTAAAACTCGTTTTTCAACCACTCCACACATTTCTTGTTAACAAACTATAGTTTTGGCAAGTCGGTTAGGACACTTACTTTGTGCATGACACAAGTAATTTTAACAATTGTTTACAGACAGATTATTTAACTTATAATTCACTGTATCACAATTCCAGTGGGTCAGAAGTTGACTGTGCCTTTAAACAGCTTGGAAAATTCCAGAAAATGATGTCATGGCTTTAGAAGCTTCTGATAGGCTAATTGACATCATTTGAGTCAATTGGATGTGTACCTGTGGATGTATTTCAAGGCCTACCTTCAAACTCAGTGCCTCTTTGCTTGACATCATGGGAAAATCAAAATGAAATCAGGCAAGACCTCAAAAGTAGAAAAAAAGTAGACCTCCACAGGTCTGGTTCATCCTTGGGAGCAATTTCCAAATGCGTGAAGGTACCACGTTCATCTGTACAAACAATAGTACGCAAGTATAAACACCATCGGACCACGCAGCCGTCATACCGCTCAGGAAGGAGACGCGTTCTGTCTCCTAGAGATGAATGTACTTTGGTGCGAAAAGTGCAAATCAATCCCAGAACAACAGCAAAGGACCTTGTGAAGATGCTGGAGGGAATAGGTACAAAAGTATCTATATCCATAGTAAAACGAGTCCTATATCGACATAACCTGAAAGGCTGCTCAGCAAGGAAGAAGCCACTGCTCCAAAACCGCCATAAAAAAGCCAGACTACGGTTTGCAACTGCACATGGGGACAAAGATCGTACTTTTTGGAGAAATGTCCTCTGGTCTGATGAAACAAAAATAGAACTGTTTGGCCATAATGACCATCGTTATGTTTGGAGGAAAAAGGGGTTTGCTTGCAAGACGAAGAACACCATCCCAACCGTGAAGTATGGGGTGGCAGCATCATGCTGTGGGGGTGCTTTGCTGCAGGAGGGACTGGTGCACTTCACAAAATAGATGGCATCATAAGGAAGGAAAATTATGTGGATATATTGAAGCAACATCTCAAGACATCAGTCAGGAAGTTAAAGCTTGGTCGCAAATGTGTCTTCCAAATGGACAATGACCCCAAGCATACTTCCAAAGTTGTGGCAAAATGGCTTAAGGACAACAAAGTCAAGGTATTGGAGTGGCCAAAGCCCTGACCTCAATCCTATAGAAAATCTGTGGGCAGAACTGAAAAAGCATGTGTGAGCAAGGAGGCCTACAAACCTGACTCAGCTATGTCAGGAGGAATGGGCCAAATTTCACCCAACTTATTGTGGGAAGCTTGTGGAAGGCTACCCAAAACGTTTGACCCAAGTTAAATAATTTAAAGGTAATGCTACCAAATACTAATTGAGTGTATGTAAACTTCTGACCCACTGGGAATGTGATTAAATAAATAAAAGCTGAAATAAATCATTCTCTACTATTATTCTGACATTTCACATTCTTAAAATAGTGGTGATCCTAACTGACCTAAGACAGGGAATTTTTACTAGGATTAAATGTCAGGAATTGTGAAAAACTGAGTTTAAATGTATTTGGCTAAGGTGTATGTAAACTTCCGACTTCAACTGTACCTACTGAACCAAAGATACTTCCCCTTTCATCTGTGACTGAACTGTCGTTAGCCCACCTAGCTAGCTACCTGAACATCAGTTGGAACCTGCTAGGTCACTAACTTCATATTTTAATCTTTCAGAGACAATTTTCATCATTCATGGAGATGTTGGGTAAAACATCGTTGGAAAAAATGGCGATGTTAATGAACGTGATCATGGTCGAAAAGGAGAAGACTGCCACAGGCATGAGCGCACAACGGAGTGTCAGTCGGGCGAGGGGGACAGAGGAAGGAGCACCAAGAGGTACACACCCATAGGGAAGATGGCCTTTCTCCTTGTCTCCTTCTCAAAACCTATTGGAGTGGGAGGGACCTCTGCATGGCCTAAAATTAAAACCCGCCAAATGCGGGTGCCTATTTCACCAGCCACGTGTGTGGGTGCAAGCATTTCACCCGAATTTGCATATACAAAGACGTTCAAAGTCAAGTATGAGCACATTAATAGCAAAGTAAATGCTGCAGTAGTTGCAAATTACGAATCCTATAATATTCCACCCAATTGTGTGGAAATTTACTTAACTTTGTCCTTGTGTTTATTGGCTATTTACATTGTTTGGTTCACAAGCTAGGTTGTTTTTCAATGTTTGAGTTTGCTTCAAATGCTAGTGAAGACATATCCACTACTAGTCAGATTCTCTATCTCACAGGCACATTGTCACTGATGACTCAAGCAGCTTGAGTGCCCTCATTGCCACAGTAACCTCCCGCCTTAAGGGGGGGGGGGGGGGGGGGGGTTAATGATGAAGAACAAATATTTAGACTGGTTTATAAAATCTGGGTGCTTGGTAGATAATAAAATAGTTTCAGGCCCTGGACCTCTGGCTTTCTCATCCAATGGGTTTTTAGAAGGAGACGAGGAGAGGGGATGCGAGGAGTATGGACAGTGCATTCGGAAACTATTTAGAACCCTTTACCTTTTCCACATTTTGTTACGTTACAGCCTTATTCTAAAACTAATTAAATGTTTTTTCCCTCATCAATCTACACACAATACCCCATAAGCAAAAACAGGTTTTTAGGAATGAATGCAATTTTATAAAAAATTAACTGAAATATCACATTTACATAAGTAATTTATTCAGACCCTTTACTCAGTACTTTGTTGAATCACCTTTGGCAGCGATTACAGCCTAGAGTCATCTTCGGGATGATCCTACAAGCTTGGCACACCTGTATTTCGGTAGTTTCTCCCATTCTTCCCTGCAAATCCTCTCAAGCTCTGTTAGGTTGGATGGGGAGCGTTGCTGCACAGCTATTTTCAGGTCTCTCCAGAGATGTTCGATCGGGTTCAAGTCCGTGCTCTGGCTGGGCCACTCAAGGACATTCAGAGACTTGTCCCGAAGCCCCTCCTGCGTTGTCTTGGCTGTGTGCTTAGGGTCGTTGTCCTGTTGGAAGGTTAATCTTCTCCCCAGTTTGAGGTCCTGAGCGCTCTGGAGCAGGTTTTAATCGAGGATCTCTGCTTTCCCTCGATCCTGACTAGTCTCCCAATCCCTGCCTCTGAAAAACATCCCCACAGCAGAATGCTGCCACCACCATGCTTCACCGTAGGGATGGTGCCAGGTTTCCTCCAGACGTGACGCTTGGCATTCAGGCCAAAGAGTTCAATCTTGGTTTCATCAGACCAGAGAATCTTGTTTCTCATGGTCTGAGAGTCCTTTAGGTGCCTTTTGGCAAACTCCAAGCAGGCTGTCGTGCCTTTTACTGATGAGTGGCTTCCCCCTGGCTACTCTACCATACGGCCTGATTGATGGAGTGCTGCAGAGGTTATTGTACTTCTGGAGGAACTCTGAAGCTCTGTCAGAGTGACCATCGTATTCTTGGTCACCTCCCTGACCAAGGCCCTTCTCCCCCGATTGCTCTGTTTGGCTGGACGGCCAGCTCTAGGAAGAGTCTTGGTGATTCCAAACTTCTTCCATTTAAGAATGATGGAGGGCACTGTGTTCTTGGGGACCTTCAATGCTGCAGAAATGTTTTGGTACCCTTCCTCAGATCTGGGCCTTGACACAATCCTGTCTCAGAGCTTTACGGACAATTCCTTCGACCTCATGGCTTGGTTTTTGCTCTGACTATGCGCTGCCAACTGTGGGACCTTTATATAGACAGGTGTGTGCCTTTCCAAATCATGTCCAATCAATTGAATTTACCACAGGTGGACTCCATCAAGTTGTAGAAACATCTCAAGGATGATCAATGGAAACAGGATGCGCCTGAGCTCAATTTCGAGTCTCATAGCAAAGTGTCTCAATACTTTTGTAAATAAGGTATTTCTGTTTTTTGTTTGTAATACATTTGCAAACATTTCTAAAAGCCTGTTTTCGCTTTGTCATTATGGGGTATTGTGTGTAGATTGAGGGGAAAAAAATAATTAAATACATTTTAGAATAAGGCTGTAACATCACAAAATGTGGAAAAAGTCCAGGGGTCTGAATACTTTCCGAATGCACTGTATGCAATTGAGATCTTCCCATTGGCTATATCAGAAATATTTGAGAAACAAGCAAAGTATTTCTGGCTAGGGCTGGGCAATATAATGTATGTTTTTGCACGATATTCCAAATGCCTGTATCGCACTTTTTTCAAACATGAGCTCTTGTTGTCTTTTTGGTCTCGTCTGCGTCGCTCCTTCTGTGCTGTGAGCACCTTCCCATTTTATACCAGAGATCTGTATATAATGACGTAATGCTAATGTTTCCACCCTAAAAATGGGAGTTGTTATTCCCAAAGGCGGGAAGATGGGCGACAAGCTTAGGTCCAAAATAAGCCCATAGATACGCATTGGGTGTGTCTTGGCAAGAGTGAAACGTCTCACTTCAGAGGGTTTGGGTTAAATGCGGAAGACCCATTTCAGTTGAATGCATTGTTGTACAACTGACTAGGTATCTTCCTTTCACTTTGCCTCTTCCTCTGTTTACACACACACACATACCAAGCCCCTGCCACTCACACAACAAAGAAATCACTTTGTCCTCTGACAAGCGGTTTCAACTCGCTTATTTGCATTTGAGGTTTGGTCCAACAGAATCGGTCATATGGACACCAACACATTGAGACATTATTCTACTGTAATAGAGGAGAAGTTAACCTTTCTAACAATACCCCTGTATTTCTATGGGCACAAGTACTGTTCATGACACAAACTGTTCACACCCCTCTTGTTGGTGGAGAGAATTTTGCAGGTTTAAAGCTTATTTCCTGTTGTCATGGGGTGCAAATAAGATTTTGCAGTTTTAAAGCAAATTTCTTGCAATTCTATACAAGAAGAACTGATAATGCGCTATCCAATTTTGAAAATGCACCTTGGCCATTCTTAAACTCAGCAAATAACTTCACAGATCTTAATTGTAAAGGGTTTAAACACTGTTTCCCATGCTTGACCAATGAACCATAAACAATTAATGAACATGCACCTGTGGAACGGTCGTTAAGACACTAACAGCTTACAGACGGTAGGCAATTAAGGTCACAGTTATAAAAACTTAGGACACTAAAGAGGCCTTTCTACTGACTCCGAAAAACACCAAAAGAAAGATGCCCAGGGTCCCTGCTCATCTGCGTGAACGTACCTTAGGCATGCTGCAAGGAGGCATGAGGACTGCAGATGTGGCCAGGGCAATAAATTGCAATGTCCGTACTGTGAGACGCCTAAGACAACGCTACAGGAAGACGGGACGGACAGCTGATCGTCCTTGCAGTGGCAGACCACGTGTAACAACACCTGCACAAGATCGGTACATCCGAACATCACACCTGCGGGACATGTACAGGATTTTAACAACAACTGCCCGAGTTACACCAGGAACGCACAATCCCTCCATCAGTGCTCAGACTGTCCGCAATAGGCTGGACTGAGGCCTGTTGTAAGGCAGGTCCTCACCGGCAACAACGTCGCCTATGGGCACAAACCCACCGTCGCCGGACCAGACAGGACTGGCAAAAAAGTGCTCTTCACTGACGAGTCGCGGTTTTGTCTCACCAGGGGTGATGGTCGGATTCGCGTTTATCGTCGAAGAAATGAGCGTTACACCGAGGCCTGTACTCTGGAGCGGGATCGATTTGGAGGTGGATGGTCCGTCATGGTCTGGGGCGGTGTGTCACAGCATCATCGGACTGAGCTCGTTGTCATTGCAGTCAATCTCAACACTGTGCGTTACAGAGAAGACATCCTCCTCCCTCATGTGGTACCCTTCCTGCAGGCTCATCCTGACATGACCCTCCAGCATGACAATGCCACCAGCCATACTGCTCGTTCTGTGCGTGATTTCCTGCAAGACAGGAATGTCAGTGTTCTGCCATGGCCAGCGAAGAGCCCGGATCTCAATCCCATTGAGCACGTCCGGGACCTGTTGGATCGGAGGGTGAGGGCTAGGGCCATTCCCCCCAGAAATGTCTGGGAACTTGCAGGTGCCTTGGTGGAAGAGTGGGGTAACATCTCACAACAAGGACTGGCAAATCTGGTGCAGTCCATGAGGAAGAGATGCACTGCGGTACTTAATGCAGCTGGTGGCCACACCAGATACTGACTGTTACTTTTGATTTTGACCCCCCCTTTGTTCAGGGACACATTATTCAATTTCTGTTAGTCACATGTCTCTGGAACTTGTTCAGTTTATGTCTCAGTTGTTGACTCTTATGTTCATACAAATATTTACACATGTTGCTGAAAATAAACGCAGTTGACAGCGAGAGGACCTTTTTTTTTGCTGAGTTAAATTATATTTTTTACCCCTTTTTCTCCCCACTTTCGTGATATCCAATTGGTAGTTAGTCTGGTAGTTGCAGTCTTATCCCATTGCTGCAACTCCCATACGGACTCGGGAGAGGTCGAGAGCCATGCGTCCTCCAAAACACAACCCTGCCAAGCCGCACTGCTTCTTGACACACTGCTCGCTTAACCCGGAAGCCAGCCGCACCAATGTGTCGGAGGAAACATTGTACAACTGGTGACCGTGTCAGTGTGCATGCCCCCGGCCCGCCACAGGAGTCCCTAGAGCGCGATGGGACAAGGACATCCCGGCCGGCCAAACCCAGCCTTAGACCGCTGTGTCACTCAGGAGCCCCCCACTTTGTGCGTTTTACTATTACAACTTTCAAGAGTAAGTTTAAAGCTGGACTGAGTTATTTTCTTTTGGGGGGACACCCACGCCCCCCTGCCGACCCCTCGCCCCATAGTTTGGGAACCACTGGTTCTAGCCTAGTACAATTTGTACTCCTAACTGGCCCACTTAGCTAGCTACCTCACCAGATAATGGTAACAACAAACAGTGCACGTGTATTTGTATGATGTAAATATTAGGCTGATTTCTAGCCATATCTATGACTAGGAATACGTTTTACAATGGGAGTTCATTGTATCAAACACTGGAGTTAAATTCTTACCTATCTGATTTCAAATGTGGAATATTTTGAGTTTTACTGTTATTTATGCATGTAAAAAAAAAAAAACGTATACACATACTGTTTTTTTAGGAGACAGTCTTCATTTCCACAACTACTGCACTGACCCTCTCTCTGAGAGAGCTCATCAAGAGGAGGATGACTTTGACCCCCAGATCTCACCTGCCTCTGCCTCAGAGACACAAGACGACCAGAGAAACATGGAGCCAAACTCGGGCAGGAATGGAGAAGATGCCCAGTGTGGAGGGGAACCTACTGGAGGTATGGGCAGGACTACACTGAATAGGGGTGGATAAGGTAAAGTCAATCAGCCTTAATGTTATGAAACACAGTACTTGAATCAGTCACCTAATGACATTGTGGCACCACTACCATTTAACCAACTTTTGAGTGAGTGTTTGTTCTGAGTATCCTTAATCATAATCAGTCAACCCCATTTAATATGAGTGTTCCTAAGCATTTATTGGGAAAAATGCCTACAATTAAGCCAGACGGGATTAGTTTTACTGGGGGAGTTCGGGTAATGTAATGATGTGCACGAGCACAACACCACAGCTGTAATTTCTAGTCCCGTGCGTATCTGCCATGGCAGTAATTTTCGCATGGCAGGAGAGTAATATTTCCAGCCTGAATAACACTTTTTTTGTTTTTTTGGGGGGTCAAACTCCAAGGTCCTCTGATAAAACTATATCCTGTGTGAATCAACAACCCTGTGCTTTGAGGGGTTTTACAGCGTTAACATGTGCTGCCCGCATTTTGGGTAAGATCATGGGAACAAATTGATGCTCAAAACCAAGTGCTATCCACATAGCCTACTTCTGTTTACACACACACACCAAGCACCTGCCACTCACACAACAAAGATTAGAAATCACTCCTTCCTCTCTGACAAGCGGTTTCAACTCGCTATTTGCATTTGAGGTGTGGTCATATGGACATCAAAACACATTGAGACATTATTTTACTGTAATAGAGAAGTTAACTTTTCTAACCATGCCCTTTTTATGTCTCAACTGCTGAAATTACACGCCGAGTAGACCCTACTAAAACGGGACTTTCAATAAACATTGATTCTGGAAAATTAATGCACAGTTTGTCGCACGGCATTGCAGTAGCGCTAGCAGCAGCATTTTAGCCAAAGACTGTTACACTAGCTGTCTAGACTGTTTCTATAAATGTGCAATAAGCATAAAACACAATTATTTAGGAAATTGGCAACTCGTTCTCATTCTGAGAAATAAGGTAGGCCACTTGTTTTTAACATCTGAACAAAGTGGTCAGGCTAGCATGCTGGTCAAACAGTTGGAGATGGACAGAAGGGTGTGCTCATAACAATTCAACTGTTCTGCCTTGTTATCTAGCAAATAGATCCAAGTTGGCATAACTTGAAATATAAAGATACCGATAAAGATTGGCTGGCTACTCACTAGCACGTGGGCTTGAGAGATTGAGACCTGTGTTAATTTTCTATAATGCCTGCTACAAGAAGTTAGTCATTATTAGTGAATGTGCATTATGTATGGTTCTGCTTAAAGTTGTAACAAAAAGGGCATTTTCATTGACTTGAAAGCCAGATCAGTGATTATTGCAAAAAAGCAGGTTAAATTATTTTGATAATAATGTAATTATGTTAGTGGAAGGCTTATATTTAGCCTAGGTATAATTTCACAAGCCCTGAATTCATTAGATTATTGCTGATTGTTTGAAATGAAGTGTATTTGACCTTTAATTGTACAACAAAGCTTATTTAGAGAACATTCAAAAATCTAGAAAAATACTGTGAATCGCCCATAACTTTGGAAAACCTCTAGATGATTTTTAGGCCATATCGCCCAGCCCTATTTCTGGCTACATCAGAATAAAGGTTTCCACTTACAGTACCAGTCAGAAGTTTGGACACACCTACTAATTCCAGGGTTTTTCTTTATTTTTTACTGTTTTTTACATTGTAGAATAATAGTGAAGACATCAAAACTATGAAATAACACGTATGGAATCATGTAGTAACCAAAGAGTGTTAAACAAATCAAAATATATTCTATATTTGAGATTCTTCAAATAGCCACCCTTTGCCTTAATGACAGCTTTGCACACTCTTGGCATTCTCTCAACCAGCTTAATGAGGTAGTCACCTGGAATGCATTTCAATTAACAGGTGTACCTTGTTAAAAGTTAATTTGTGGAATTTATTTCCTTCTTGATGCGTTTGAGCCAATCAGTTGTGTTGTGACAAGGTAGGGGTGGTATACAGAAGATAGCCCTATTTGGTAAAAGACCAAGTCCATATTATGGCAAGAACAGCTCAAAAAAGCAAAGAGAAAAAACAGTCCATCATTACTTTAAGACATGAAGGTCAGTCAATATGGAACATTTCAAGAACTTTTCAAGTTTCTTCAAGTGCAGTCGCAAAAACCATCAAGCGCTATGATGAAACTGGCTGTCATGAGGACCGCAACAGGAAAAGAAGACCCAGAGTTACCTCTGCTGCAGAGGATAAGTTCATTAGAGTTATCAGCCTCAGACTGCAGCCCAAATACATGCTTCACAGAGTTCAAGTAACAGACACATCTCAACATCAACTGTTCAGAAGAGACTGCGTGAATCAGGCCTTCATGGTTGAATTGCTGCAAAGAAACCACTACTAAAGGACACCAATAAGAAGACACTTGTTTGGGCCAAGAAACACGAGCAATGGACATTAGACCGGTGGAAATCTGTCCTTTTGGTCTGATGAATCCAAATTTGAAATATTTGGTTCCAACCGCCGTGTCTTTGTGAGACGCAGAGTAGGTGAACAGATGTTCTTCGCATTTGTGGTTCCCACCGTGAAGCATGGAGGAGAAGGTGTTATGGTGTGGGGGTGCTTTGCTGGTGACACTGTCTGTGATTTTATTTAGAATTCAAGGCACACTTAACCAGCATGGCTACCACAGCATTCTGCAGCGATATACTATCCCATCTGGTTTGCGCTTAGTGGGACTATCATTTGTTTTTCAACAGAACAATGACCCAAACACACCTCCAGGCTGTGTAAGGGCTATTTGACCAAGAAAGAGAGTGATGGAGTGCTGCATCAGATGACCTGGCCTCCACAATCCCCCGACCTCAACCCAATTGAGATGGTTTGGGATGAGTTGGACCGTAGAGTGAAGGAAAAGCAGCCAACAAGTGCTCAGCATATGTGGGAACTCCTTCAAGACTGTTGGAAAAGCATTCCTCATGTAGTTGGTTGAGAGAATGCCAAGAGTGTGCAAAGCTGTCATCAAGCCAAAGGGTGGCTACTTTTGAAGAATCTCAAATATATTTAGATTTGTTTAACAATTGGGTACTACATGATTCCATATATGTTATTATTCTACAATGTAGAAAATAGTAAAAATAAAGAAAAACCCTGGAATGAGTAGGTGTGTCGACTTTTGACTGGTACTGTACATTTGATCATTTATTCATTGGTCATTCAAAGGTGTGTGAGCTTGAAGTATGCTAATTGTGTGGAAATGTATCCAAATTCAGCAAGTGTTCTAGCCTAGTGCAATTTGTACTCCTAATTGACCCACTACCTCACCAGATAATAGTAACAACAAACAGTGCACGTGTATTTGTATGATGTAAATACTGGGCTGATTTCTAGCCACATCTGACTAAAAAGGAATACGTTTTACAATGGGAGTTTATTGTATCAAACGTTTGAGTTAAATTCTTAGCTAGCTAATTTCGAATGTGGAATATTTTGATGTGGTGTTTTTGATGCATGTCTTTTTTTTTTTTTAAATACACATACTGTTGTTTTAGGAGACAGTCTTCATTTCCACAACGGCTGCACTGATCCTGTCTCTGAGAGTGCTCATAAAGAGGAGGATGACTTTAACCCCCAGACCTCACTTGCCTCTGCCTCAGAGACACAAGACGACCAGAGAAACACGGAGCCAAACTCAGGCAGGAATGGAGAAGATGCCCAGTTTGGAAGGGAAGCTACTGGAGGTATGACCACTGAATAGGGGTGGATATGGTAAAGTCAATCAGCCATAATGTTTGCTGCAATTTTATGAAACATAGTACGAATCAGTCAGCTAGTAGCATTGTGGCACCACTACCATTTAGCCAACATTTGAGTGTTTATGCTTAAGAATACTCCGGATAATCAGTCAAACCCACGTTTAAAATGAGTGTTCCTATGCATTTATTGGGAAAAATGGCACGAATTACGCCCTATTCGGACGGGATTCGTTTTACTGGGGGAGGTCTCTAATGTAACCTTTACAAAACACCATATCCGTAATTTTAGTCCCGTGCGAATCTGCCACGTAAGTAATTTTCACATGGCTGGAGAGTAATAATTTCAGCCTGAATAAACGACAGTTATTTTGATGAACTCCAAGGTCTTCTGATAATACTATATCCCGTGCGAATCGACATCCCTGTGCTGTGAGGGGTATTACAGCGTTTAACATGTGCTGCCTGCAGTTTGGGTAAGATCATGGGAACAAATTGATGCTTAAAACAAAGTGCAATGCACGTAGCCTACAGGTGAATGATCTGTTTTGTCATATAAAAAACACGCTGGGGTAATAACTACATAACCAACGTTCTAAAGTAATACAAGTGCCATTGAATAGGGCTTTTAGACTGTTGAGGAATACTTTTCTTTAGGGTGGGTATATTGTTTGCTGTTTAAATTTATTTCTGAGACATGGTAGTTAATATCCACCATCTCATTCATACATGCAATGCAGTAGTTTGTTTTACATTTACGCCTCAACAACCACAATTACCCTCTCTGTTGCAGATGTGGTATTGCTCTCTGAATTTGATCATCAAGAGGAAGTTCACCTTAATCCCCAGCTCTCACCTGCATCAGACCCAGAGAAACAAGACGGCCAGCCCTCAAACATGGAGCCAAACCCAGGCAGGATTGGAGAAGATGTCCAGCATGGTGATTCTTCAAATACAGCCCAAAGTTCAGATACAAGCGCTGCCACCGGAGCAGTGAAGATGCCGTTCATTTGCGACTTTTGTGGAAAGGGTTTCATTTGGAGATGCACTTTTAAAGCCCACCGTAATCATCACACCAAACCCTTTAGCTGCCCGCAGTGTGGGAAAGGTTTTGGTACGAAGACTGGGTGTAATAATCATCTCTTAGCGGTGCATTCTAAAGAGAAGCCCTTCAAATGTACAGATTGTGGGAAGGTGTTTGCATTGAGGAATAGTTTGGTCAAACACAAGGATCTCAACCCAACTCTGCACACCTGCACAACATGTGAAAAATCATTCTGTGGGGAACGTGCACTAAAACGGCACAACTTCAGTGATCACCCGGAAAAGGCATACATCTGCTCTTTGTGTCCAAAAACCTTTCGGTCATGGCCAACATGGAAACGTCATAAGGCAGAGCACTCGGAGGAGAAGTATTGCTGTGAAACCTGTGGCAAGCTTTTCTGTTCATCTTCATCCTTAGCCAGTCATCAGAGAACAACTCATAAAGCAAAGGCTTATAGCTGTGATGTATGTAATAAAGGTTTCAGGGATGTAACCAATTTCCAAAAACATATGACCTCCCATATTAGAAAAGGCCATGTTAGTCTAGAAAAAGCTTTTGCCTGTAGTGTATGTGAGAAATGTTTCTCATGTGCACGCACTCTCAGAGATCATACGACCATTCATACCGGTGTAAAACGTTTTGGTTGTAGCATATGTCACAAACGTTTTCGTCTTTCAACCAGTCTCAAAGATCATATGACTTTACATACTGGAGAGAAACCTTTTGTGTGTGGTTTATGTGGCAAGAGTTACTGTCGGGCAAGCCAGCTCAAAGCACATGCGCTTGTCCATACTGGAGAGAAACATATGGCCATCACCCATACCAGAAGAAAAGACTACAGTTACGTCTGTGACGTATGTGGAAAACATCTCCCTGATGTATTTAGGCTCAAATGCCATATGTTCGTACATACTGGTGAACAACCTTTTGCCTGTGATCTATGTGGCAAAAAGTTCAATCACCCAAGCAATCTCAAAAGACACAAGCTGTCTCACACAGGGCAGAAACTATATGTTTGTACTACTTGTGGTAAAGGTTTCACCCGTTCAACAACCCTTAAGATACATCAGCGCAGTCACACTGGTGAAAAGCCTTACTTGTGCAATATCTGTGGGCAAGGCTTCACCTCACATGCCTACGTTAAGAAACACAAGATGATTCACCTGCCACCTCAACTTCGTTCAAGACCGCAGAACTCTGGGCCAAAGTCACATGTCTGCAGCTACTGTGGTAAAGGCTTCTGTTACAGATCTGTGTTGGATCAGCACATGCGCACTCACACAGGAGAAAAACCATTCAACTGTCTCATTTGTGGGAAATGTTGCATGTTTAAGGCTACTCTTGAAATCCACATGCGCAGTCACACAGGGGAGAGACCATTCAAATGTCGCAATTGTGGGAAAGGGTTCATGTGTAAGAATACTCTTGTAAATCACATGCGCACTCACACAGGGGAGAGACCATATGCTTGTGATGAATGTGGCAAGAGTTTCTCCCAGAGCAGTCATTTAGTATCTCACCAGCGTGTGCACACTGGTGTCAAAGCATTTGTGTGCAACAAATGTGGGAATGCCTATGCCTGTAGCCGAAATCTGAAAGTTCATAAGTGCAAGTTCAACCAGAAAACAGTCCATGGAAAGAATGTACAGGATCACTCTGTAGAAAACCTCTCACATGATCACACTGGACCCAGTATCCCAAAAGCATCGTAAGGCTAAGTTCATCGTTAGAACCTTCGTAGGAGTATCGTTAAATCTCCAAGCTGTTAACCAAAACCATTGTTACACTTGAAAACACTTGTTATTTACCAACTGCCTCAGACCTCATAAAACAGCTAAGTTGAGTCTTTAGATGTCCCCCCCGCATCACTTAATACAGAGAAGATCTCAACTAAACACAAGCAAGTTGTTTAGGCTCTCTGTGACCACCAATAACTTCAGAACTAAGTTGACTACAAATACAAAGTTGCCAATGTCTTTGCAATTGTTACAAACCGAGGATAAAAAGATGCTTCAACTGAAAACCAAGATTACTGCATTAAAAGATAAATAGGCCTACAGTGTAGGCTACATGCCTATATTTCAATCATATTGAAATCAATTTCATGTGAATTCAATTGGGTTCTATTTAGCTAATTGTAGGCAACTGTATGTATTTTTTGCCTCAATATATTTCATGTGTAACAACGTGCGCAATGATGTGCCAAATCTCGATTTAGTGCATTATATAGGGTAATGCTTATAAGCCGCCTCAATATTTGCAGCCCTAGGTGATATCTCTAAAAGCTGATCCGTTGTGTATTGTGGAATAATTATGATGTTATGGTAAGATTTGAATGGAGAAAGCTGATCCGAGAGCAGCGCTGCTTTTCTTAAGATCAGTAGCGACACGTGGTGATTTGGAAACGCATGTTACATCGCAGTTTATAGAAACAATGCATTGTTAACACTCGTATGCCTAAATTCCATCGCTATCAGGAAACTGGCCCTGGATAAGAGGATGGGCATACTTCATAGATGTTCACAGTTTCATATGAGAGAGACTATAATTTGAATTCTAAATTAATAGTGGGAAGAGTTTCGCCCAGATAATTCAGTTGTATTGTTTTTATTTAATGGAAATACATTTTGAAAGTATTTGGTGTTCAGGCTTTTTCTGTAAATAAACCAACCACCTTAATTAGTGTGGTCATTGTTAAGAAAAAGGGACTCGTTTTTTTAAATATATACTTAAAGGCTTTTCCAGAAAGTTCTCTGAGTACTAATAGTATGTTATTTTCTGATTCTTTGGGGGCGTGATTGTATCTTTTTTTGCAGACACTGTTTGTAAAACATAAGATCTCACAACACCTGGTTAAATCAAGGGATATACAGTGCCTACAGAAAGTATTAATACCCCTTTTATTTATTGCACATTTTGTGTTAGCCTGAATTTGGAAAATTGATTTAAATTTATTTTTCTCACACATCTACACACAATACTCCATAAGGACAGACATTTTTGCAGATTTATTGAAAATGAAATACAGAACTACAGTGGCGCCACAAGTATTGGGACAGTGACACATTTTTTGTTTGTTTTGGGTCTGTACTACAGCACTTTGGATTTGAAATGATACAATGAGTATGAGGTTAAAGTGCAGATTGTCAGCTTTAATTTGATGGTATTTTCATCCAAATCGGGTAAATGTTTAGAAATTACAGCATCTTTTTGTACATAGTCCCCCCCCCCCATTTTAGGGGACCAAAATTAATGGGACAACTTACAGGACATCCCGGCCGGCCAAACCCAGCCTTAGACCGCTGTGTCACTCAGGAGCCCCCCACTTTGTGCGTTTTACTATTACAACTTTCAAGAGTAAGTTTAAAGCTGGACTGAGTTATTTTCTTTTGGGGGGACACCCACGCCCCCCTGCCGACCCCTCGCCCCATAGTTTGGGAACCACTGGTTCTAGCCTAGTACAATTTGTACTCCTAACTGACCCACTTAGCTAGCTACCTCACCAGATAATGGTAACAACAAACAGTGCACGTGTATTTGTATGATGTAAATATTAGGCTGATTTCTAGCCATATCTATGACTAGGAATACGTTTTACAATGGGAGTTCATTGTATCAAACACTGGAGTTAAATTCTTACCTATCTGATTTCAAATGTGGAATATTTTGAGTTTTACTGTTATTTATGCATGTAAAAAAAAAAAAACGTATACACATACTGTTTTTTTAGGAGACAGTCTTCATTTCCACAACTACTGCACTGACCCTCTCTCTGAGAGAGCTCATCAAGAGGAGGATGACTTTGACCCCCAGACCTCACCTGCCTCTGCCTCAGAGACACAAGACGACCAGAGAAACATGGAGCCAAACTCGGGCAGGAATGGAGAAGATGCCCAGTGTGGAGGGGAACCTACTGGAGGTATGGGCAGGACTACACTGAATAGGGGTGGATAAGGTAAAGTCAATCAGCCTTAATTTTATGAAACACAGTACTTGAATCAGTCACCTAATGACATTGTGGCACCACTACCATTTAACCAACTTTTGAGTGAGTGTTTGTTCTGAGTATCCTTAATCATAATCAGTCAACCCCATTTAATATGAGTGTTCCTAAGCATTTATTGGGAAAAATGCCTACAATTAAGCCAGACGGGATTAGTTTTACTGGGGGAGTTCGGGTAATGTAATGATGTGCACGAGCACAACACCACAGCTGTAATTTCTAGTCCCGTGCGTATCTGCCATGGCAGTAATTTTCGCATGGCAGGAGAGTAATATTTCCAGCCTGAATAACACTTTTTTTGTTTTTTTGGGGGGTCAAACTCCAAGGTCCTCTGATAAAACTATATCCTGTGTGAATCAACAACCCTGTGCTTTGAGGGGTTTTACAGCGTTAACATGTGCTGCCCGCATTTTGGGTAAGATCATGGGAACAAATTGATGCTCAAAACCAAGTGCTATCCACATAGCCTACTTCTGTTTACACACACACACCAAGCACCTGCCACTCACACAACAAAGATTAGAAATCACTCCTTCCTCTCTGACAAGCGGTTTCAACTCGCTATTTGCATTTGAGGTGTGGTCATATGGACATCAAAACACATTGAGACATTATTTTACTGTAATAGAGAAGTTAACTTTTCTAACCATGCCCTTTTTATGTCTCAACTGCTGAAATTACACGCCGAGTAGACCCTACTAAAACGGGACTTTCAATAAACATTGATTCTGGAAAATTAATGCACAGTTTGTCGCACGGCATTGCAGTAGCGCTAGCAGCATTTTAGCCAAAGACTGTTACACTAGCTGTCTAGACTGTTTCTATAAATGTGCAATAAGCATAAAACACTATTATTTAGGAAATTGGCAACTCGTTCTCATTCTGAGAAATAAGGTAGGCCACTTGTTTTTAACATCTGAACAAAGTGGTCAGGCTAGCATGCTGGTCAAACAGTTGGAGAAGGACAGAAGGGTGTGCTCATAACAATTCAACTGTTCTGCCTTGTTATCTAGCAAATAGATCCAAGTTGGCATAACTTGAAATATAAAGATACCGATAAAGATTGGCTGGCTACTCACTAGCACGTGGGCTTGAGAGATTGAGACCTGTGTTAATTTTCTATAATGCCTGCTACAAGAAGTTAGTCATTATTAGTGAATGTGCATTATGTATGGTTCTGCTTAAAGTTGTAACAAAAAGGGCATTTTCATTGACTTGAAAGCCAGATCAGTGATTATTGCAAAAAAGCAGGTTAAATTATTTTGATAATAATGTAATTATGTTAGTGGAAGGCTTATATTTAGCCTAGGTATAATTTCACAAGCCCTGAATTCATTAGATTATTGCTGATTGTTTGAAATGAAGTGTATTTGACCTTTAATTGTACAACAAAGCTTATTTAGAGAACATTCAAAAATCTAGAAAAATACTGTGAATCGCCCATAACTTCGGAAAACCTCTAGATGATTTTTAGGCCATATCGCCCAGCCCTATTTCTGGCTACATCAGAATAAAGGTTTCCACTTACAGTACCAGTCAGAAGTTTGGACACACCTACTAATTCCAGGGTTTTTCTTTATTTTTACTGTTTTTTACATTGTAGAATAATAGTGAAGACATCAAAACTATGAAATAACACAAATGGAATCATGTAGTAACCAAAAAATTGTTAAACAAATCAAAATATATTCTATATTTGAGATTCTTCAAATAGCCACCCTTTGCCTTGATGACAGCTTTGCACACTCTTGGCATTCTCTCAACCAGCTTCATGAGGTAGTCACCTGGAATGCATTTCAATTAACAGGTGTACCTTGTTAAAAGTTAATTTGTGGAATTTCTTTCCTTCTTGATGCGTTTGAGCAAATCAGTTGTGTTGTGACAAGGTAGGGGTGGTATACAGAAGATAGCCCTATTTGGTAAAAGACCAAGTCCATATTATGGCAAGAACAGCTCAAAAAAGCAAAGAGAAAAAACAGTCCATCATTACTTTAAGACATGAAGGTCAGTCAATATGGAACATTTCAAGAACTTTTCAAGTTTCTTCAAGTGCAGTCGCAAAAACCATCAAGCGCTATGATGAAACTGGCTGTCATGAGGACCGCAACAGGAAAAGAAGACCCAGAGTTACCTCTGCTGCAGAGGATAAGTTCATTAGAGTTATCAGCCTCAGACTGCAGCCCAAATACATGCTTCACAGAGTTCAAGTAACAGACACATCTCAACATCAACTGTTCAGAAGAGACTGCGTGAATCAGGCCTTCATGGTTGAATTGCTGCAAAGAAACCACTACTAAAGGACACCAATAAGAAGACACTTGTTTGGGCCAAGAAACACGAGCAATGGACATTAGACCGGTGGAAATCTGTCCTTTGGTCTGATGAATCCAAATTTGAAATATTTGGTTCCAACCGCCGTGTCTTTGTGAGACGCAGAGTAGGTGAACAGATGTTCTCCGCATTTGTGGTTCCCACCGTGAAGCATGGAGGAGAAGGTGTTATGGTGTGGGGGTGCTTTGCTGGTGACACTGTCTGTGATTTTATTTAGAATTCAAGGCACACTTAACCAGCATGGCTACCACAGCATTCTGCAGCGATATACTATCCCATCTGGTTTGCGCTTAGTGGGACTATCATTTGTTTTTCAACAGGACAATGACCCAAACACACCTCCAGGCTGTGTAAGGGCTATTTGACCAAGAAAGAGAGTGATGGAGTGCTGCATCAGATGACCTGGCCTCCACAATCCCCCGACCTCAACCCAATTGAGATGGTTTTGGATGAGTTGGACCGTAGAGTGAAGGAAAAGCAGCCAACAAGTGCTCAGCATATGTGGGAACTCCTTCAAGACTGTTGGAAAAGCATTCCTCATGTAGTTGGTTGAGAGAATGCCAAGAGTGTGCAAAGCTGTCATCAAGCCAAAGGGTGGCTACTTTTGAAGAATCTCAAATATATTTAGATTTGTTTAACAATTGGGTACTACATGATTCAATATGTGTTATTATTCTACAATGTAGAAAATAGTAAAAATAAAGAAAAACCCTGGAATGAGTAGGTGTGTCGACTTTTGACTGGTAATGTACATTTGATCATTTATTCATTGGTCATTCAAAGGTGTGTGAGCTTGAAGTATGCTAATTGTGTGGAAATGTATCCAAATTCAGCAAGTGTTCTAGCCTAGTGCAATTTGTACTCCTAATTGACCCACTACCTCACCAGATAATAGTAACAACAAACAGTGCACGTGTATTTGTATGATGTAAATACTGGGCTGATTTCTAGCCACATCTGACTAAAAAGGAATACGTTTTAATAATATAATAATAATAATAATAATAATATAATAATAATAATAATATGCCATTTAGCAGACGCTTTTATCCAAAGCGACTTACAGTCATGCGTGCATACATTTTTGTGTATGGGTGGTCCCGGGGATCGAACCCACTACCTTGGCGTTACAAGCGCCGTGCTCTACCAGCTGAGCTACAGAGGACCACGGGAGTTTATTGTATCAAACGTTTGAGTTAAATTCTTAGCTAGCTAATTTCGAATGTGGAATATTTTGATGTGGTGTTTTTGATGCATGTCTTTTTTTTTTTAAATACACATACTGTTGTTTTAGGAGACAGTCTTCATTTCCACAACGGCTGCACTGATCCTCTCTCTGAGAGTGCTCATAAAGAGGAGGATGACTTTAACCCCCAGACCTCACTTGCCTCTGCCTCAGAGACACAAGACGACCAGAGAAACACGGAGCCAAACTCAGGCAGGAATGGAGAAGATGCCCAGTTTGGAAGGGAAGCTACTGGAGGTATGACCACTGAATAGGGGTGGATATGGTAAAGTCAATCAGCCATAATGTTTGCTGCAATTTTATGAAACATAGTACGAATCAGTCAGCTAGTGGCATTGTGGCACCACTACCATTTAGCCAACATTTGAGTGTTTATGCTTAAGAATACTCCGGATAATCAGTCAAACCCACGTTTAAAATGAGTGTTCCTATGCATTTATTGGGAAAAATGGCACGAATTACGCCCTATTCGGACGGGATTCGTTTTACTGGGGGAGGTCTCTAATGTAACCTTTACAAAACACCATAGCCGTAATTTTAGTCCCGTGCGAATCTGCCACGTAAGTAATTTTCACATGGCTGGAGAGTAATAATTTCAGCCTGAATAAACGACAGTTATTTTGATGAACTCCAAGGTCTTCTGATAATACTATATCCCGTGCGAATCGACATCCCTGTGCTGTGAGGGGTATTACAGCGTTTAACATGTGCTGCCTGCAGTTTGGGTAAGATCATGGGAACAAATTGAAGCTTAAAACAAAGTGCAATGCACTTAGCCTACAGGTGAATGATCTGTTTTGTCATATAAAAAACACGCTGGGGTAATAACTACATAACCAACGTTCTAAAGTAATACAAGTGCCATTGAATAGGGCTTTTAGACTGTTGAGGAATACTTTTCTTTAGGGTGGGTATATTGTTTGCTGTTTAAATTTATTTCTGAGACATGGTAGTTAATATCCACCATCTCATTCATACATGCAATGCAGTAGTTTGTTTTACATTTACGGCTCAACAACCACAATTACCCTCTCTGTTGCAGATGTGGTATTGCTCTCTGAATTTGATCATCAAGAGGAAGTTCACCTTAATCCCCAGCTCTCACCTGCATCAGACCCAGAGAAACAAGACGGCCAGCCCTCAAACATGGAGCCAAACCCAGGCAGGATTGGAGAAGATTTCCAGGATGGTGATTCTTCAAATACAGCCCAAAGTTCAGATACAAGCGCTGCCACCGGAGCAGTGAAGATGCCGTTCATTTGCGACGTTTGTGGAAAGGGTTTCATTTGGAGATGCACTTTTAAAGCCCACCGTAATCATCACACCAAACCCTTTAGCTGCCCGCAGTGTGGGAAAGGTTTTGGTACGAAGACTGGGTGTAATAATCATCTCTTAGCGGTGCACTCTAAAGAGAAGCCCTTCAAATGTACAGATTGTGGGAAGGTGTTTGCATTGAGGAATAGTTTGGTCAAACACAGGGATCTCAACCCAACTCTGCACACCTGCACAACATGTGAAAAATCATTCTGTGGGGAACGTGCACTAAAACGGCACAACTTCAGTGATCACCCGGAAAAGGCATACATCTGCTCTTTGTGTCCAAAAACCTTTCGGTCATGGCCAACATGGAAACGTCATAAGGCAGAGCACTCGTAGGAGAAGTATTGCTGTGAAACCTGTGGCAAGCTTTTCTGTTCATCTTCATCCTTAGCCAGTCATCAGAGAACAACTCATAAAGCAAAGGCTTATAGCTGTGATGTATGTAATAAAGGTTTCAGGGATGTAACCAATTTCCAAAAACATATGACCTCCCATATTAGAAAAGGCCATGTTAGTCTAGAAAAAGCTTTTGCCTGTAGTGTATGTGAGAAATGTTTCTCCTGTGCACGCACTCTCAGAGATCATACGACCATTCATACCGGTGTAAAACGTTTTTGTTGTAGCATATGTCACAAACGTTTTCGTCTTTCAACCAGTCTCAAAGATCATATGACTTTACATACTGGAGAGAAACCTTTTGTGTGTGGTTTATGCGGCAACAGTTACTGTCGGGCAAGCCAGCTCAAAGCACATGCGCTTGTCCATACCGGAGAGAAACATATGGCCATCACCCATACCAGAAGAAAAGACTACAGTTACGTCTGTGACGTATGTGGAAAACATCTCCCTGATGTATTCAGGCTCAAATGCCATATGTTCGTACATACTGGTGAACAACCTTTTGCCTGTGATCTATGTGGCAAAAAGTTCAATCACCCAAGCAATCTCAAAAGACACAAGCTGTCTCACACAGGGCAGAAACTATATGTTTGTACTACTTGTGGTAAAGGTTTCACCCGTTCAACAACCCTTAAGATACATCAGCGCAGTCACACTGGTGAAAAGCCTTACTTGTGCAATATCTGTGGGCAAGGCTTCACCTCACATGCCTACGTTAAGAAACACAAGATGATTCACCTGCCACCTCAACTTCGTTCAAGACCGCAGAACTCTGGGCCAAAGTCACATGTCTGCAGCTACTGTGGTAAAGGCTTCTGTTACAGATCTGTGTTGGATCAGCACATGCGCACTCACACAGGAGAAAAACCATTCAACTGTCTCATTTGTGGGAAATGTTGCATGTTTAAGGCTACTCTTGAAATCCACATGCGCAGTCACACAGGGGAGAGACCATTCAAATGTCGCAATTGTGGGAAAGGGTTCATGTGTAAGAATACTCTTGTAAATCACATGCGCACTCACACAGGGGAGAGACCATATGCTTGTGATGAATGTGGCAAGAGTTTCTCCCAGAGCAGTCATTTAGTATCTCACCAGCGTGTGCACACTGGTGTCAAAGCATTTGTGTGCAACAAATGTGGGAATGCCTATGCCTGTAGCCGAAATCTGAAAGTTCATAAGTGCAAGTTCAACCAGAAAACAGTCCATGGAAAGAATGTACAGGATCACTCTGTAGAAAACCTCTCACATGATCACACTGGACCCAGTATCCCAAAAGCATCGTAAGGCTAAGTTCATCGTTAGAACCTTCGTAGGAGTATCGTTAAATCTCCAAGCTGTTAACCAAAACCATTGTTACACTTGAAAACACTTGTTATTTACCAACTGCCTCAGACCTCATAAAACAGCTAAGTTGAGTCTTTAGATGTCCCCCCCGCATCACTTAATACAGAGAAGATCTCAACTAAACACAAGCAAGTTGTTTAGGCTCTCTGTGACCACCAATAACTTCAGAACTAAGTTGACTACAAATACAAAGTTGCCAATGTCTTTGCAATTGTTACAAACCGAGGATAAAAAGATGCTTCAACTGAAAACCAAGATTACTGCATTAAAAGATAAATAGGCCTACAGTGTAGGCTACATGCCTATATTTCAATCATATTGAAATCAATTTCATGTTAATTCAATTGGGTTCTATTTAGCTAATTGTAGGCAACTGTATGTATTTTTTGCCTCAATATATTTCATGTGTAACAACGTGCGCAATGATGTGCCAAATCTCGATTTAGTGCATTATATAGGGTAATGCTTATAAGCCGCCTCAATATTTGCAGCCATAGGTGATATCTCTAGAAGCTGATCCGTTGTGTATTGTGGAATAATTATGATGTTATGGTAAGATTTGAATGGAGAAAGCTGATCCGAGAGCAGCGCTGCTTTTCTTAAGATCAGTAGCGACACGTGGTGATTTGGAAACGCATGTTACATCGCAGTTTATAGAAACGATGCATTGTTAACACTCGTATGCCTAAATTCCATCGCTATCAGGAAACTGGCCCTGGATAAGAGGATGGGCTTACTTCATAGATGTTCACAGTTTCATATGAGAGAGACTATAATTTGAATTCTAAATTAATAGTGGGAAGAGTTTCGCCCAGATAATTCAGTTGTATTGTTTTTATTTAATGGAAATACATTTTGAAAGTATTTGGTGTTCAGGCTTTTTCTGTAAATAAACCAACCACCTTAGTTAGGGTGGTCATTGTTAAGAAAAAGGGACTCGTTTTTTTTCATATATACTTAAAGGCTTTTCCAGAAAGTTCTCCGAGTACTAATAGTATGTTATTTTCTGATTCTTTGGGGGCGTGATTGTATCTTTTTTGCAGACATGGTTTGTAAAACATAAGATCTCACAACACCTGGTTAAATCAAGGGATATACAGTGCCTTCAGAAAGTATTAATACCCCTTTTACTTATTGCACATTTTGTGTTAGCCTGAATTTGGAAAATTGATTTTAAATTGATTTTTCTCACATCTACACACAATACTCCATAAGGACAGACATTTTTGCAGATTTGTTGAAAATGAAAGACAGAACTACAGTGGCGCCACAAGTATTGGGACAGTGACACATTTTTTGTTTGTTTTGGGTCTGTACTACAGCACTTTGGATTTGAAATGATACAATGAGTATGAGGTTAAAGTGCAGATTGTCAGCTTTAATTTGATGGTATTTTCATCCAAATCGGGTAAATGTTTAGAAATTACAGCACCTTTTTGTACATAGTCCCCCCCCCCCCCCCATTTTAGGGGACCAAAATTAATGGGACAAATTCACTTACAGTGCCTTGCAAAAGTATTCATCCCCTTTCGCGTTTTCCCTGTTTTGTTGCATTACAACCTGTAATTTAAATTGATTTTTATTTGGATTTCATGTAATGGACATACACAAAATAGTCCAAATTGGTGAAGTGAAATGAAAAAATTACTTATTCTAAAAAAAAACATAACGGAAAAGTGGTGCGTGCATATGTATTCACCCCCTTTGCTATGAAGCCCCTAAATAAGATCTGGTGCAACCAATTACATTCAGAAGTCACATAATTAGTTAAATAAAGTCCAACTGTGTGCAATCTAAGTGTCACATGATCTCAGTATATATACACCTGTTCTGAAAGGCCCCAGAGTCTGCAACACCACTAAGCAAGGGGCACCACCAAGCAAGCGGCACCATGAAGACCAAGGAGCTCTCCACACAGGTCAGGGACAAAGTTGTGGAGAAGTACAGATCAGGGTTGGGTAATAAAAAATATCCAAAACTTTGAACATCCCATGGAGCACCATTAAATCCATTATTAAAAAATTGAAAGAATATGGCACCACAACAAACCTGCCAAGAGAGGGCCACCCACCAAAACTCACGGACCAGGCAAGGAGGGCATTAATCAGAGAGGCAACAAAGAGACCAAAGATAACCCCGAAGGAGCTGCAAAGCTCCACAGCAGAGATTGGAGTATCTGTCCATAGGACCACTTTAAGCCGTACACTCCACAGAGCTGGGCTTTACGGAAGAGCGGCCAGAAAAAAGCCATTGCTTCAAGAAAAAAATAAGGCATGTGGGAGACTCCCCAAACATATGGAAGAAGGTACTCTGGTCAGATTAGACAAAAATTGAGCTTTATGGCTATCAAGGAAAACGCTATGTCTGGCGCAAACCCAACACCTCTCATCACCCCGAGAACACCATCCCCACAGTGAAGCATGGTGGTAGGAGCATCATGCTGTGGAGATGTTTTTCCATCGGCAGGGACTGGGAAACTGGTCAGAATTGAAGGAATGATGGATGGCGCTAAATACAGGGAAATTCTTGAGGGAAACCTGTTTTGTCTTCCAGAGATTTGAGACTGGGACGGAGGTTTACCTTCCAGCAGGACAATGACTCTAAGCATACTGCTAAAGCAACACTTGAGTGGTGTAAGGGGAAACATTTAATGTCTTGGAATGGCCTAGTCAAAGCCCAGACCTCAATCCAATTGAGAATATGTTGTATGACTTAAAGATTGCTGTACACCAGCAGAAGCCATCCAACTTGAAGGAGCTGGAGCAGTTTTGCCTTGAAGAATGGGCAAAAATCCCAGTGGCTAGATGTGCCAAGCTTATGGAGACATACCTCAAGAGACTTGCAACTGTAATTACTGCAAAAGGTGGCTCTACAAAGTATTGACTTTGGGGGGGTGAATAGTTATGCACGCTCAAGTTTTCTGTTTTTTTGTCTTATTTCTTGTTTGTTTCACAATAAAAAATATTTTGCATCTTCAAAGTGGTAGGCATGTTGTGTAAATCAAATTATACAAACCCCCAAAAAATCTATTTTAATTCCAGGTTGTAAGGCAACAAAATAGGAAAAATTCCAAGGGGGGTGAATAAATTTGGCAAGCGACTGTAACTATTGGCCTCATGGTGAAATCCCTGAGTGGTTTCCTTCCTCTCCGGCAACTGAGTTAGGAAGGACGCCTGTATCTTTGTAGTGACTGAGTGTATTGATACACCATCCAAAATGTAATTAATAACTTCACCATGCTCAAAGGGATATTCAGTGTCTGTCTGTTTTTTGTTTTTGTTTTTGTTTTTGTTTTACCCATCTACCAATAGGTGCCCTTCTTTGCGAGGCAATGGAAAACCTCCCTGGTCTTTGTGGTTGAATCTGTGTTTGAAATTCACTGCTCGACTGAGGGACCTTACAGATAATTGTATATGTGGGTACATGTTAAACACTATTATTGCACACAATGAGTCCATGCAACTTATTATGTGACTTGTTAAGCACATTTTTACTCCTGAACTGATTTAGGCTTGCCATAACCAAGGGGTTGAATTCTTCGACTCGTGATATTTCAGCTAAACTTTTAAAAACATAGTTCCACTTTGACACAATTCAGGCTGTAACACATCAAAATGTGGAAAAAGTCGAGGGTTGTGAATACTTTCTGAAGGCACTGTATTTCATTATTTGAATTTAATATTGAAATTACCAAATAAATATTTTAGAGAAATTGATAGTCGACCAAAATTAATTTTTCACAAACTGTATGCACTGGAACTGTAGGCATGGTGCTGGAGATACTGAATATGATTTGAAAAAGTGGTCAAATGACGAATAATATTGTACAATTAATTTGAGTTCATCTTACTGAAGGAGTTTCAGTCGTACTGTAAAAGACTATGCCCTATGAATTCACTCTTATATGGTGGATGTAAAAGTGATTTTACAGTTCCGTCTACAATGGATATACATTTATTTCACATACAGTATTTGTGTAGTGTTCCATAAGTTAAATTGTAGGTGTCTAGTGGGGCCTTCATGTGCTTGTGGGAAACTGCAAAGTGATAAGTCATAGGTTGATGAGTTAGTTAGCTTCATCAGCTAGATAACTTTGCTAATAATAAAGTTAGCTAGCTTGCTTAACATTGACAATATGGTCAAGCTAGCTACATTATCCACATCGATAAGTTTGTAATTGGCAAAAACTGATTTTGTCATCTGGATGAAAAAGTTCAGTGCTGAAACGTCACAACTCGGCACCTTGGGTAACAAAATGTTCTCAAAGTTTCCCACTGTAAATTACGAGTTGGAGGGTCATTCAAATGAAACTTCCCAGTCGGAACTCCGAACTTCCGATAACATGTGAATGCCCCCATAGGCCTACAGTCACAGCTAGACATGTTGAAGCAAATGCTGCGTTCATAACCAAGTGGTGAGGTGGTAATTACCAGCAGGCCTGGCCCACCCTACTGTACTTCCCTTATCCGTCCAAATAAAATATTGAAATATTGATAATTTATTTGACCGAGATGCGCGCTGACAGAAAGACATCAATCTCAGATAAAGCATCTGAGCGAGCGAAACAGCGCCCCTCTGTCTCTGTACGTGTTGCCCATGTATCTGATGCTGTTGCCCATGTATCTGATGCTGTCTGGCCAGAAATAGTATGGCATGTCATACTCTTTTTGGACAGACAGTATCAGATACATATAGTACGAGAGAGGGGCGCTGTTTTGCTCGCTCGGATGCTTTCTCCGGTGGAATAGTTAGTGCACTGTTCGGGTTAGGGATGTGCCTAGTAATCGGACAAAATGAGTATTTTAAAGGATATGGGCAATTGCCCCGTATAGCTCAGTTGGTAGAGCATGGCGCTTGCAAATCCAGGGTTGTGGGTTCGTTTCCCACGGGGGGCCAGTATGAAAAAAGTTATGCACACACTAACTGCAAATCGCTCTTGATAAGAGCTGACTAAAATGTAAATACCATTATGATCCAAGTATTTTTTGTTATTGTCCGTGATGTAAACGTTTGTAATTTTAGGACGCCGGACCCGGAGTGCATCTTTCAATGAAATGCAAGGTGCTACAAGGTCTATATAACTCACCTGTCTAGTTTGCCTGTCTGTAAATGGAAGGGTGGGCTCTACGTTTGTCCTGCTGCACTGATTGAATAGAGCGACGCTGTATTTCTATGTCCACTCACTTCATAATTTCACCGGACCACTTCTCCTTGCATGTTTCGGTGTGATAATTTATTTGATGCTGCCTTCTGTTTGCCTGCTACTATGTTAAATCTAATGGGTAGGACATTTGCTCAAGCTATCAATGTGCATAGTATCTAACAAGCGGGTTGAGGGTAGGGAGAAAATATGAAACGTTTATGCGCATTCTGAGTGACAAACTGCCCGCTGCAAATTGAGGACACCGACCCCTCCGCGCGCTCCTCCTAATCTGCAGTTTATTTTGCAAGGAGATTGGAATTTTGCCAACGTCTATTTAGATTTATTAAAACACATCTGTGTTTTTATGATCATGAGTATCATCCGACTATCAACTGATAGGAGTATGGTCAGGTCGGCACAGCCCTAGTTTGGATGCTGGAATTGTTTTGGAAGAACGTACAAAGGTAACCTACTTTTTGAAGTGATTTGTTTGACAATCAGATGAAAACATCATGACTGGTTGTGTTCATGCCACAAAAGGTACAATTTTTACAGTTCAATTACATTTCTTTACTATAAAACCCATCAAAAAAATTACACGGGAGGTCCTGTGAAAAAAAATCATGCCCCCCTATTGAAATCAAATGCCTGTCCAACTGATTCGTTCTGGCGCCGGCCCTGATGACCAAATCCAATCAAAGTTAATTGATCACGTACACAGTTTAGCATATGTTATAGAGGGTGCAGCGAAATGCCTATGTTCCTAACAATTTAGTAAAATGTGAAGTCGTAAATTCCAGTAGGGTGCTTTGAACTAATTGATAAAACGCTGATTGGCTAATGGCCAACAAGCTGCGTCAACCATAAACTAAAAGTACAGCTATCATGCTTGTAAACAAATTAGTGTTCAAAAAACCATATTAATAGATTGCTTTTGACACTTTTGTATAAATGCTGTTATCGAGGTTATTTCCTTAGTAGGTGACGTGACAGAGGTCAGCATGTGGGAGAAGTTGGAGTCTTACAAGTTTCCCACTAGTAATGGCAAACGTGCATTAAGATGGCAGAGTACAGATGTGACGTCATTGTTTTAGCAGTATCCAGAGTTTAAATTTATGGGGCGCAACATAATTCAATGCACCAATAAATCAGCATAATCTACTTTCTCGGTTTTTCAAATTGCTGGCGTTTTGGGATCTAGAATTGGATCATGTATACTGTGCTAATGCTGACACAAAAAAAAGAGTAACGTAGAGCGATCTATAACATGGCAAATTTAGCAAACGAAGCATTTGTGATAAGTGCATGAAGGCAGCCATATTTATGCACGTCTGTCATTACAAGTTGGAGGGTCGTTCAAGTGGATTTTCCCAGTCATATGTGGTAAATACCACCTTCCCACTTGTTTATGAATGCAGCAAAAAACTCCTATCTATCTATCATATATCTCTATCTACAGTATCTAATCTATGCAGTGCTTAAATTAGAAAAATAGCAAACTGGCCATCAATTGGAACCATTGACTTGGGATAGGCCAAAACATGAGGGGAATGTTTGAAGGATTGAAGAAGAAGAAGAAGAAGAAGAAGAAGAAGAGGCCGGGTTGTGACAGGTAAATGGCGTCCCTTGAGAAAGCAAGAACAAGATGTATGTCAGGAGAAGTGCAGTATTATCATAAGGAAACGTATACTTGTAATACGGAGGAGGAATGGAGGGAAAAAGAGAGGCAGATGAGGTCTAAGAGAGAGAGGGAGGAAGATTGTGAGCTTGAGTCGGTTAAAAATGGCGGGAAAAAGGGAGAAGGTTTGTTAAAGAAGAATGGTAGAAAATGTAAGCAGAGTGAGCTGAAGACAGGAGGAGAAATGGAAGTGAATGAGGGTGAAGTATGAGGTGGTAGGTGTGGTGAAGTACTCATAGCCCGAGGCTTGCACCGAGGGTCAGGATAAAGATGAGTCTGTGACAGTAGGAGTGAAGTTTTTGGAAGAAGTGGACCCTTGCCTTTTGGCTGATCCATTTGTGGTTTCAGGGTGATTGAAAAAAATGTTGGGGTATAGTTGAATCCGTGAGGGTAACCAGAAGTGGTCTAGTGATAATTGTTTGTGTTTCTGTTGGTCAGAGGGAGAAGGCGCTCGGAGTTAAACAAATGGGGGCCAGAAATGTGAATTGTTTCTCTCTCAAGAAAAGGGCGCTTGAAAGGAGTGATTACTGGGGTAGCAGTAAATGTAAAAGTTTACCAACTGAAGGGGAAGATTCCTGGTGTTTGTGATGCTCGTCGTTTGGTGCGACGCAAACAGGGTGGCGAGAGTGGGGAAACAGAAGAGTCATTGTCTGTTCTTTTGAGTTTTGAAGTTGAGTCTTTGCCTGACAAAGTTAAGTTAGGATATATAAGTTATCCTGTACGAGCTTATGTGCCGAATAAATTACGTTGTTACAGGTGTCAAACTTATGGGCATGTGGCAGCAGTGTGTAGGAGGGAGGTTCCAAGGCATGCAGAAGGGCATGAGACAAAGGAATATGTAGCATTGGGGATAGTAGTGGTATGTGCAAATTGTATGGGTGCCCATGGGGCTGGGGATCATAAATGTCCTGTGCGAGAGAGGCAGGTTGAGATTTCCAGGGTAAGAGTAGTCCAGAAGTTGTCATATGCTGAGGCAGTGAAGAAAGTAGAGGAAGATGGGTCAAGGGGGAGCAGTGGTGAGAGTAGTAGATCTGTACCAGGACAGAGGGATAGGCCAACAAGTGATATGTTTCAGTAAGATTGGATTTTTAGCTTTTATAGCAATGGTTATCAATTGTACTGTAGGGTTGGAGGTTGTGGTGGCAGCTGCAGAGAGGTATTTGGGTGTGCGAGACTTGACATCAGAAGAGTTACAGGGTGTGTTAAGTGGTGATGTCCCATCCTTTCAGGTTGAGGGCATGAGGTAGGAATAAATAGATTTAAATAGTGGAGTAGGGTGGTGTTAATTTGATTTTATTATTATTTGAATTTGTGAGTCTAGTGTTAGATGGTAGGGTATTTCTTTATTTTATTTTCAAGCAAAATATAAGGAAGTTGTACTCCAGTCTAGTAGGTGGCGGTAATGCAACATATTGGATGCCAACCGCCGTTAAACCTCATCGAAGAAAAAGGAACGTTTTAAGTGTAACACGCCGTAATGGGATTTAGTTTTTTTCCAGCGCCATCCAGTTGGTGGCGGCAATACAACATAAATTGTGGTACGCCATAAAATCTCAACGAAGAAGAAGTAGCGTAACTGCGAGTGACTTCATTTCCGCAAACAATTCAATTTCCTCACATTGCCGTTGGTATTAGCAGTCGAAATCACTTAGGTATAATAAGAACGGTCGAAATGATAATTAAGAACTGTTAGCTTGCAGCAATGTTGAGTGATGAGACTTTTCAGAGACAATTATCTACCATTGTCGAGGTATTAGTTTCAGCGGCAGTTGCGGAGATGGGAAGACTCCTCGATGAGTGCTCTGCTGCTGTTATGCCTCTAAAGTTGGTCCAGCAGAATGAGGGAAGTAGTTTGCTGAAGAGTAAACTTCAACGTGTGAACAAAACCAAGACAGTGAGTACACATTTGGTCGGTTGTTGGGAAAACGAATTTGCTGGCGAATGGCGACAAACTAGACTAGCTAGCAAACTACATAAACTGTTACTAGTAGCTAGCAAACTGTTGAGGACAAACTTTTACCAGGAGTGTATTCGTTAGTCAGATTCCGTTGCCAAACGTTTTTCAACGGAAACCGTTTAACCGTTTACTCAAGGAACCAAACGGAAACAAACAGAACGAAACGGGGAGGGACCTACCATAATTTGGCCAATACAAACTCGTTTTCGTTAAACGTTTTTCGTTTGGAGTAAAATGTTTCTGTTGCAAAACGTTTTGGCAACGGAATTTTTTAAAAACATTTTTAAAGTAATTTAGCAGACGCTCTTATCCAGAGCGACTTACAGGAGCAATTAGGTTTAAGTGCCTTGCTCAAGGGCACATCGACAGATTTTTCACCTAGTCTCGGGGATTAGAACCAGCGACCTTTCGGTTACTGGCACAACGCTCTTAACCACGAAATCACCCCAGGGGTCGTCTGTTGCAAAACGTTATGAAACAGAAACCGTATACTCCAAACGAAAACGAGTTGGACTGTTGTTTAAATTCAGGTAGGTCCATCCCTGTTTTGTTCCGTTTGCTTCCGTTTTGGTTCTTAAATGGTTAACAGTTTCTGTTGAAGATGTAATGAATACACCCCAGCTAACCTTAGATGGCTCACTAACATTAGATGGGCACGGAACCAAAGATACTTACTTCTCCTTTAATCTGTGACTGAATTGTCGTTAGCCAACCTAGCTAGCTACCTGAACATCAATTGTAACCTGCTAGTTCACTCTAACTTCATATTTTAATCTTTCAGAGACAATTTTCATCATTCATGGAGATGTTGGGTAAAACATCATTGGAAAAAATGGCGACGTTAATGAAGGTGATCATGGTCGAAAGGGAGAGGACTGCCACAGGCATGAGTGCCCAGAGGCCTGTCAGTCGGGCAAGGGGGACAGAGGAAGGAGCACCGAGAGGTACACACCCATAGACTATCTCAGAAATACTTGAGAAATTAGTAATTTCTTGAAGTATTTCTGACTATATCAGAGAAATACTTACATTGATCATTTAATCATTGGTCATTCAAAGGTGTGAGCTGAAGTATGCTAATTGTATGCAAATGTCCAGATGAACTAGCCCATGTCAGCTAATGTTTTTTTATTTCGTTTTTTTAACCCATATTGTTGTAATTTTTTAGTCACTCAAATATGACATGAATACACATTAGACATGGCGAAATGTATGGAATTGCAGAACATTTGCTTTAAAACTGAAAAATCTTCTTTGCACCCAATGACAAAATGTGTAGAATTGCAGGAAATAAGCTGTAAACCTGCAAAATTCTCTCCACCAACAAGAGGGGTGTGAACAGTTTGTGTCATGAACAGTACTTGTGCCCATATAAAAATAGATGTGGCGTGTGCACGCAGGGGGGGCGTGGGATGTTCCCCAATGCTGGAAGGGGGGCCCCCGAGTGGGAAAAGTTTGGGAACCCTTGTTCTAGACTACTAAAATGTATACTCCTAATTGACCCATTTGGCTAGCTACCTTTCCAGATAATGTTAACAAACAATGCACATGTGTATTTGTATGATGAATACTAGGCAGATTTTTAGCCATATCTAACTAAAAAGACAAGACCTTTTACAATCGGAGTTCATTATATCAAACATTGAAGTAAAATTCTTAGCTGATTTTGAATGTGAAATATTTTTATGGTGTTTTATGGTGCATGTCTTTTTTAATACACACTGTTTTTTAGGAGACAGTCTTCATTTCCACAACTACTGCACTGACCCTCTCTCTGAGAGAGCTAATCAAGTGGAGGATTACTTTTACCCCCAGACCTCACCTGCCTCTGCCTCAGAGACACAAGATGACCAGAGAAACACGGAGCCAAACTCAGGCAGGAATGGAGAAGATGCCCAGTTTGGAAGGGAAGCTACTGGAGGTACATTGTACTTGAATCAGTCAGCTAATGGCATTGTGGCACCACTAGCATTAAGCCAACTTTTGAGTGAGTGTTTATGATATAAGGATACTCTGGACAATCAGTCAAAACCATTTAAAGTTAGTGCATTTATAGGGGGAAATGCCACCAATTAGACTGTATGGAATTATTTTCTCTATTCTCGTTAGTATCGTGGCAAGGAAACAAAACACGAAGCGGGTTTAACTTTAGGAAAACAGACCTAATGTTGGAAACATTGTCATCCAGAGTCACATTTATTTATTTCCCAAGCTATACCGCACAATATTTTACATACAGCAGGTTTTTAAAGAACCATAGAGCTTGGTCTGCTTCGTGTTTTACTCTCAGCCATGGAAAGAATATTGTGATGCTGGTATCGTCCCGGCCCTAGTGTTTGCTGTTTAAATTATTTCATATCCACCATCTCATTCATACATGCAATGCAGTAGTTTGTTTTACATTTACGCCTCAACAACCACAATTACCCTCTCTGTTGCAGATGTGGTATTGCTCTCTGAATTTGATCATCAAGAGGAAGTTCACCTTAATCCCCAGCTCTCACCTGCATCAGACCGAGAGAAACAAGACGGCCAGCCCTCAAACATGGAGCCAAACCCAGGCAGGATTGGAGATGATGTCCAGCATGGTGATTCTTCAAATACAGGCCAAAGTTCAGATACAAGCGCTGCCACCGGAGCAGTGAAGATGCCGTTCATTTGCGACGTTTGTGGAAAGGGTTTCGATTGGAGATGCACACTTAAAGCCCACCGTAATCATCACACCAAACCCTTTAGCTGCCCGCAGTGTGGGAAAGGTTTTGGTACGAAGACTGGGTGTAATAATCATCTCTTAGCGGTGCATTCTAAAGAGAAGCCCTTCAAATGTACAGATTGTGGGAAGATGTTTGCTTTGAGAAAAGGTTTCGACAAACATAGGGATTTCAACCCAACACAACATACCTGCACAACATGTGAAAAATCATTCTGTGGGGAACGTGCACTAAAACGGCACAACTTCAGTGATCACCCGGAAAAGGCATACATCTGCTCTTTGTGTCCAAAAACCTTTCGGTCATGGCCAACATGGAAACGTCATAAGGCAGAGCACTTGGAGAAGAACAAGTATTGCTGTGAAACCTGTGGCAAGCTTTTCTGTTCATCTTCATCCTTATCTTGTCATCAGAGAACAATTCATAGATGTCATAAGGCAGACCACTCAGGGGAGAAGGGGGAGAAGTATTGCTGTGACACCTGTGGCAAGCTTTTCTGTTCATCTTCATCCTTAGCCAGTCATCAGAGAACAACTCATAAAGCAAAGGCTTATAGCTGTGATGTATGTGGCAAAGGTTTTATGGGTATAACCTATTTCCAAAAACATATGACCTCCCATATTAGAAAAGGCCATGTTAGTCTAGAAAAAGCTTTTGCCTGTAGTGTATGTGAGAAATGTTTCTCATGTGCACGCACTCTCAGAGATCATATGACCATTCATACCGGTGTAAAACATTTTGGTTGTAGCATATGTCACAAACGTTTTCGTCTTTCAACCAGTCTCAAAGATCATATGACTTTACAAACTGGAGAGAAACCTTTTGTGTGTGGTTTATGCAGCAAGAGTTACTGTCGGGCAAGCCAGCTCAAAGCACATGCGCTTGTCCATACTGGAGAGAAACCTTTCACCTGTGATGTATGCGGCAAGCGTTTCCATCTCCCACGCTCTTTTGAAAGACACAAAACCATCCACACTGGACAAAAACCTGTCTGTAATTCATGTGGCAAATGCTTCAGGGGTGCAAGTGCTCTCAAACGACATATGGCCATCATCCATACCAGGCAAAGAGACCACCGGTACGTCTGTGACGTTTGTGGCAAACATCTTCCTGATGCAGCTGGGCTCAAATGGCATATGTTCGTACATACTGGTGAACAACCTTTTGCCTGTGATCTATGTGGCAAAAAGTTCAGTAACCCAGGCAATCTCAAAAGACACAAGCTGTCTCACACAGGGCAGAAATTGTATGTTTGTACTACTTGTGGTAAAGGTTTCACCCGTTCAACAACCCTTAAGATACATCAGCGCAGTCACACTGGTGAAAAGCCTTACTTGTGTGATATATGTGGGCAAGGCTTCACCTCACATGCCTACGTTAAGAAACACAAGATGATTCACCTGCCACCTCAACTTCGTTCAAGACCGCAGAACACTGGGCCAAAGTCACATGTCTGCAGCTACTGTGGTAAAGGCTTCTGTTACAGATCTGTGTTGGATCAGCACATGCGCACTCACACAGGAGAAAAACCATTCAACTGTCTCATTTGTGGGAAATGTTGCATGTTTAAGGCTACTCTTGAAATCCACATGCGCAGTCACACAGGGGAGAGACCATTCAAATGTCGCAATTGTGGGAAAGGGTTCATATCGAAGAATACTCTTGTAATACACATGCGCACTCACACAGGAGAGAGACCATATGCTTGTGATGAATGTGGCAAGAGTTTCTCCCAGAGCAGTCATTTAGTATCTCACCAGCGTGTGCACACTGGTGTCAAAGCATTTGTGTGCAATAAATGTGGGAATGCCTATGCCTGTAGCCGAAATCTGAAAGTTCATAAGTGCAAGTTCAACCAGAAAACAGTCCATGGAAAGAATGTACAGGATCACTCTGAAGAAAACATCTCACATGATCACTCTGCATAATAGGATTGGCTTACTTCATAGATGTTCAGTTTCATATGATGGAGGAAAGACTTTGGTATACGTTTAAAACCTCTTAGATGTTCTGATAACGGTTCCGACCGACATGATCGCTTATAAATCGATCTGTGGATACTGTAGATCATAATGGCTTGCATTGAGCGAGAGCCCTGGTTACCACGGACGCAGTAGTATTTTTTTCTGAGACTGTGACGTAGGATGTGAAATCTGAAACGACTTAAAGCTGGGAAGTCCCTCCTACCATTTTCATTTGCTCTTCTAACTGTCCAACTCCTGACTGAGCCCTACATCGCAGCCACTGACACATGCCTGCAATTGTTACATTGTAACGCAGCAGGAGAGAATGTTTTTATCACGGAAGCAGAGATCAATTTATAGCCATTCATCTAAAATAATTCATAGTTTTTAAACAAACACTTTCTGTCATAGACAGACAAGATTAATATGAGATGAAAGGCGAGTTCTTAACGAGTTCAGGAAGACAAGCTAGAGCTCTGTGAGACGGTCACAGCGATGGGGGCAGACGTTTTGATCAAGATACCTTTAGAAAATATGCACATTTTCTGTAACTAAACATACAAATATGTATTTTAGTTATAAGTAAGGTGAAATCTTATAGTTTTATTTGATTATGCTATATTTAGAAAGTATGCAAGTAATTTCAGGACTTATTCATACAGTTTTGTTGAATAGGAAATGCATAAAATATTTCATTTGTACTGTGTACTTGAGCTTGTGTCCTCAAAAGTGACTACACCTCAGCAATTTATAACTATTTTTACCAGAAAGGTGAGATTTTAACTGCATTACTAGTTATTGTTTATGGACCTCTCATGATAAATAATTACTTTGGGGGATTACGTAGATTACATTTTCGATTACATTTAGTTACATTTAACTGGTTTTAATGATGAATGGATAGTGGTAATATTTTTACCCAGAGAATTCAGATTTCAGTTGTGTTGTTTCATTTGATGGAAATACATTTTGAAAGTGTTTGGTGCTCAGGACCTGTATATAAACAAACCACCTTAGGGTGGTCATCTTTAAGAAAAAGTGAGCCAGGTTTTTTTATACTTCAAGACAGGCCTTTCGACAAGGCTCTCTTGAGTCCTACTGGTATATTATTTTCTGTTGTTTTGGGGGTATGATGAAAACATTTTTTGCAGCAGCACTGTGCAAAATATATTATCAACCTGGTTAAATCAAAGGATATATTTCATTTTTTGAAATTACTACACTGAAGAAAATTATAAACATGTTGGTATTTGTAAAGTGTTGGTCCCATGTTTCATGAGCAGAAATAAAAGATCCTAGAAATGTTCCATATGCACAAAAAGCTTATTTCTCTCAGTTTGTCCACAAATTTGTTTACATCTCTGTTAGTGAGCATTTCTCCTTTGCAAGATAATCCATCCACCTGACTAAAGAGACTGATCATTACACAGGTGCACCTTATGCTGGGAACAAGAAAAGGCTACTAAAATGTGCAGTTTTGTCACGCAACACAATGCCACAGATGTCTCATGTTTTGGCATGCTGACTGCAGGAATGTCCACCAGAGCTGTTACTAGAGAATTGAATGTTCATTTCCCTACCATAAGCTGCCTCCCAACCTCGTTTTAGAGAATTTTGCAGCCTGGGAGACAGGGCTGACTGTCAGGCATCGTTCAGGGCTTAAATACCCCACGAGGGCTTAGTTGCCCCACGAACACTTCGCTGAAGTTATGGGACATTTAGCTTGCTAACGTTCTAATTTATAAACTGACAATGAGCTCCAAACACAAATGAAAGCATGATAACATGAAATGTACCATCCCTTAGTGTAGCAATCAATAAAAACGTATGTGCTGATCCACCGTGGGCTGTCGCCTCAGCCATATCAATACGTCCAGTCTTATTGAAATAGTTTATCTTGTGATCTCGACAAAACAACTTTTGTTATGTAGAGATCATGAGATAAATAAGTAACGATCTCAACATAACTAGGGAATCTTTTTTTTAAATTAATATGTTCTCTCTGAACTTCTGTACTGTAGCCTATTTCACTTCCTCAAAACCCTCAGAATGAATCTAAGATAACTCAATAAATCTGTAATGAATTTTGACGTTTTTGCCGAGGATGTTTTAGTTGCCCAATTTTACATCTAAGGTGTTTGGTGCAGTATTTCTTAAGTAAAAAAATGTGCAACATGTAATATGTAAACAAAGTCGGAGCTGCTGGGCAGGTCTGTCTCACTGTCTATGCTATTGGATAGAGACCAATCACAGCAGCTGTACACACCATGTTAGTAGGCAAATGGACATCGTCAAAATCAAAACCCAACCTTCATTTACCCGTTGTGACGCACGGATGTTCCAAACTCTGTTTTATACAAGACTGACTTTATGACCAAAATTATCCTAGTTACACTTTGTAGTACATTTGACACTAGAATAATTGTTTCTGACTCATATGGATGCCACAGAGGCCGTTTTCAAAGGGAATTGTTGCTATTTTTTATTAATTGTTTTACAAACAATGGAATGGTTTATTTGCGCTAATAGAAGTTTCGTAGTGCTTATGTTGTTATTATGAGTATACTGATATAAGTAGGACACGTGACATCCCAGCAACTTTGTGAAAAATCACTTTATTATCAGAGTTGTGCCTGTTGTTTACGTGCTTATCTGCTCTCTCATTGGCTAGAATGGTCCCACCTGATCTTGCCTCCTCCCATATGCCTTCCATTTTTGAAGACATTTATTTTCATTATTAGAGCTGCCACTAGAGTATCTGTGAGTTGGACAATTTTTATCCCCATAATAATTAATAGGCTTTATATAGTGCTTTTCCACCAACTACTCAAAGTGTACTCATTGTAGGGGGAAACTCACCTCCTGGGTGATGCACAGTGTAACAGTGTTGCTTCCGTCCCTCTCCTCGCCCCTACCTGGGCTTGAACCAGGGACCCTCCGCACACATCGACAACAGTCACCCTCGAAGCACCGTTACCCATCGCTCCACAAAAGCCGCGAAACAACTACTTCAAGGTCTCAGAGCGAGTGACGTCACCGATTGAAACGCTACTAGTGCGCACCGCTAACTACATTTTAGTCATTTAGCAGACGCTCTTATCCAGAGCGATTTACAGTTAGTGAATGCATACATGTTTTTGTTTTTTTGTTTTTTTCATACTGGCCCCCCGTGGGAAACGAACCCACATCCCTGCCGGCCAAACCCTCCCCTACCTTGGACGACGCTTGACCAATTGTGCGCCGCCCATGGCTCTCCCGGTCGCGGCCGGCTGCGACAGAGCCTGGACTCGAACCTGGATCTCTAGTGGCACAGCGCCACTCGGTGGTCTAAGGTCTATTATTTTGTAAAGTGGTTTCTTGCATCATACAACACAATACAATTTACAGTCACCTATTTGGTCCATGGTGTTACAAACCAAGTAAAAAAAATCAAGAATTCATGTCAAGCCCTTCATAATGTAAAAACGTATTTTAAAGTATCATGCAATATAGGCCTGCATTGAACACCACATATAGGCTATTGTAGGCTATATCATATAAATAAAAAGCTATCTAAAACTGTAAGGGTACATCCTCTGTGTTCACTGTAAACGCGCGCGGGAAGTTGCGCAAAAGTCTCACAGCGTTCAAGTTTCCGCTCACAATACCTACAATTTGCTCAGTTTCCCCAAAAACTATTTTATAGGGGGGAAAATCCTGTTTCACTTTGGAAAGAAGAAGGAAGATTGTTCAAGCATCGCTTCTCCCAGTGCTTGATTATGGTGATGTAATCTACAGGCATACGGCAGCCTCTGTTTTAAAACCTTTAGCACTGTGTTTTATCACTGGGGTACATTTTCATATAAAAGTTACATTAAAAAATGCAATATAAATACAAAATATGCATTTTGAACATGGCACCCAAATATACATTTTTGACTAGAAACATTTTAACTGAGCCAATTTCTCTTCTATATTATTTATCTAGTCAAAACATGTCACTACACAACTAGCTAGCCATTTCACACCGGTTACACTAGCAACAATTTTTGTGCCAGAACACATCAGCTGGAGAGTGATATATGCTAATTAGGAATGAGGGGGAGATTAGGTGGCCATTATGGAATGGGGCCAGGTCGGGAATTTAGCCATGACACCAGGGTTAACACCCCTACTCTTACAATAAGTGCCATGGGATTTTTTATGACCACATAGAGCCAGCACAACCTTTTAACATCCCATCCAACAGAAGGCACACTACACAGGGCAATGTCGCCTTCACTGCCCTGGGATCTCCTTAGACCAGAGGGAAGAGTGCTTCCTACTGGCCCTCCAACACCACTTCCAGCAGCATCTGGTCTCCCATCCAGGGATTGACCCTGTTTAGCTTCAAAGGTAAACCAGCAGTGGGATGCAGGGTGGTATGCTGCAACACACTTTGAAAGGCGGGGACCAACCTGTTGACAAAAGTGATCGAATGCGCCCATTGATTGATTGATTGGAGACAGCTTGTGTCAATTAAATAACATCTACCTGCAGAAAACCTAATGGATCATGCTGGAAATAAGTGCCAAAAAAAACTACCAAAAAGCATGGCCCTACGCTACGACGACGTTAAAAAGTGGTGTGTTTCTTTAACACCTCATGAATAATGTAATATTGGGGCGGGGTTGGATATTAACTAGCCGCCATTTTGGACACACCGCATGCTCAAATGCTGTAGCCTGCCAGGTTCCAACTTAAACCAGGGGGAATGGTCATAATTTAATCACAGGGCAATATGTTTGTTCTTGAATCCTTCGGCTCGTAAAAAACGTAATTAGCTTTAGTAGTGTATGTAACCCAGGTTTTCTTCCAGTTGATTTTGAAAAACACATTCTCAATATGAAGGGTATAATTGAAGATCCCACACACACCGAAAGTGCTGGTTTTGGGTGCGCCGTGACAAACCGTTTTGGTCAGCTTTTAGACGACGAGGCCGACCCTTTCGACATTATTCGCCAAGCGCAGGTGGAAAAGCAGAAGAAAAAAAAGGATGAGCTGAAAAGAACTGATACCACAGCCAAACCTGTCAAGAAGGAGTCTCAAAAGGACAAGAGAACTCCATTGAATGCTGGGGAAGGCGACCATGCACAGGCTAAAACTGTACAGGGTAAGTCAATGCAATGCTGGGGGAAGGCCTAGTTAACGTAGATGTGAAGATGGACAGTATTGACAGCACGTGTCCGGTGTAGTTATCTAAAACAATTCCGGCGTGTCAAACTTGCATAATTGACACTGTAATTATAAGGATGGACTCTTCCTGTCCTTCGCATGTCCATCCATGTGTTATGGAACTCCGCGGGATTATGCACATGTTGTTCGCTGTCTGCTTCTGGCTAGCGTAGTAGCTGACTTAGCTAGTTAGCCAACAAGGTAGTTAACGTTAGATGGCTAACTAGGCAACTTTAGTGCAACATTGGGGTTGTGCTAGGTAGTTAAGTTTATATTTTCAGTGAAACTTTTCGCGGAATTGCTAATACTGTATAGGTTGTAGGCTAGTGCTAGCTAAATCAATCACGTGCTAGCTAGTTAGGTTTAGCTAGCTACCTACAGTAGATGGAGGCCTTTTGAAGTGGCTTGTTTGGGGTGGTTGCATAATTTGTCATCTTCATTTATGTGCAGGTCAGAAATATCCTCCTCGAGGTGCACCTGGCCAGGTGACAGAGAGGGGGGAGCAACGAATTGCCTTCCGGGATCGGAGGCAGAACGACAGTGAGGCTCCCCTAGGATACTCAATTGAAAGGTAGTTATACACTAGAGGTGGGAATTTCTGCGTTGGCCGATTGAACATGACATTGGCTGCGTTTACACAGTCAGCCCAATTCTGATGTTTTTTCACAAATTGGTCTTTTGACCAATCAGATCACCTCTGAAAAAGACAGGGTGTTAAAAGGACTCATGTGATTGGTATAAGACCAATGGAAATAGTGTACAATTATCAGAATTGTGCTGCCTGTGTGAACACAGCCATAGGCTATTCAAGTATTAACATGCAGTTTCCTTTTTATACTGACCCCACTTTGCAGATCTGAGAGAACTGGGTAGTTGCATCCATGTTAACTCCATCTGGCCAACCAGTGCCCTTGGTGGCGCCATCATGCTCCTTACTAGGGGTGTGCCGAACTCGTTGTAATTGTATCCGTTTCACACTTGATAGGCTACTCGTAATTGGCTTTACTTGTGCTCGGAAAACCCAGAAGTGCAGTAAAGCCTATACTAAAGTGAAGCGCAATCACTCAGCACCTCTGTTCCTTCACTCATTCACATATTGCTCACGATCCCGACATCTGAAATGCACATGACTTACTTTCATAGTCATAATTATCAACAAAATTGGTTAATAAATAATGCATAGCTGGCTACTGCCGCCTGCATTTATTCCAGATGTTATTGCCCTAATAGCCTAGGCTACATTGTTTCACTTTCGAGAGGAGAAAAATGTCTCTCCCAATGTGTAGCCTATGCCACATTTGTACTATCAAAATGAAATATTTAAATGTGTAATTTTATCTTCTAATGATCTGTCGCTCAGAAAACATGTCTGGGAGAAATAATAATAGTAAGGGAACCTTGCGTGAGTCTGGGGAATTTTAGTTGAAGTCACGAGCACTGCTTGTCGGCTCCTGCATAGCAACCTAGCTGTGCCAAAAGCCCTGGTCTGCCCTAAAAAGCCTATGTAAATTACGGTCCCCAGAATGGCCAAACAAAAACATTTAGATGGCAGTTTTGGTCTCTAAAATTCAGCAATATGTTGCGCTTCAATCTCAAATACTTACGGCTTCATGCGCCATCTGGAGTTTTCCATAGGAATACATGGATGACGTTGGCGCTATCATGATCTACTGGTTTTAGTGTCTATGGTTTGACGCTGGTGCACAAAACCGAAAGTAAGATGCAAAAACAAAACTTAAGAACGGGAAGCCTAGAAATGGACCACATAGAACAGATCTACCGCTGCTTAGACTTGTTTTCAATGAGATCTAGAACTCGTATTTCTGTGAATTTGGTCGGGTCGTCCAAGAAGTGTATTTATATATAGCAGCATTAACCTGTAAACAATTCATGGTAACCTTTTAAACAATCCATTTTAGACCTGCCGTTTATTTGAAATCTGTATTTATTTGCTGAAATGTGTGCCTTTGCCCGGCTATGAAAAGGGACAGGCAGCTATGCGACTACGTTTAATTGAACTTTTTATGGTAACTAACCACTACCCCCCCCCCCCAACAGGCCTGTGGATCAGGGTGAGCGTGCCGGAAGGGGCCGAGGTGGAGGCCGTGGAAGAGGAATGCGTGGCAACTTCAGATCCACAGATGGCTTTGACCAGAGAGGCAAAAGGGAGTTTGAGCGCCACAGTGGCAGTGATAGAACGTATGAAACAATACTAATCACATTGCTCTTAAATCAAGTTTGTCGGTTTCACAATGTATGTGAGTGTTCTACTTGGATTATGATCAAATAGTTGAGGTTGGTGACATTTGAACTTTTGCCTGTTGCAGTGGTGTCCGGCCAGAGGAGAAGCGAGGGGGCAGTGGTCCACGTAACTGGGGATCCATGAGGGACCACATGAGGTGAGTATGCACATTAGGACCGTACATGTGAGTCATTTGACAGTGCCTCAGTGTTTGCGTAGCTATAGGAGTACTCTGCTGTCCTAGTTTGGACTATAAGTAGGAGTAGCCACAAACCCAGGCTTCTCACATTCTGTTTATAAGTCTGGGGAAGTTTTCCTCAGGAAGTCTATAAAAAGGGGTTTAGTACAGTAGTCTAGGTGAAAACCAAATATTTTGCATGGGTCCAAACAGGTTGTTTCAGAATTTCTGACTTGCAACAAGCTAGCTAGTTTAAGTAGCGCCACATAGGCTTCTAAAACATTGTCCAACACTGTCGGAAAAGACTGGGACAAAACAAGGAAACAAAGCTCAAACAAGAAAATGCCCCTCCTGATGGGACAATATCATTTATAGTCGGACCCAATCAAATGCGAGCGTTGAAAGCCAGTGCTCTCATTCAAACGTACAATCCCATACTGAAGTTGATCAGACTTCCAATAGTTGTCAAGATGAGATTTGGAAGGATGGAATGAGCCTTAAGTTGTGGCTTGTATCTTGAAAAAAAATATTAAAATGAGAGCCAATATTCCTTTTGATCTGAATTAGAAGTCCCTCATTGAGTTGTCCTTCAACCAATGTGGCTTGGCACGTCTTCATCAGCACTTTCATATGTGTTCGTCATCGAAGAATTGTCTTGAATGATTCTTACCGTAGTTATACTGTTTATGCTATTTTAGTGCTGCGGCTGATGGGGCTCCCACTGAGGGAGGGGACGGAGATGAGGTGGCGGATTCCGCAGAGGCTGGAGCAAATCGGTGAGTGAGCCAAATGACTGACCAGCACAACGCTGTTAATCAGACCACACAGTGAGACCGTGCAAATAGTATACATGTATAGCGTACCTCTTTATGCAAATCCTCCACAATACTCACTAGATATTCTAGTCTATACATACCCTGAACTCAGACATTTTAAATGCTCACGTTTACTCTAGTTATAGAATAAGTTTTGGGGTGTATTAGATTTTCCATCCCCATAGTAATCGGATTCTCTGCAGCGCCCCGGAGACTGAAGGCGAGGGGGAAGCAGTAGTTGAGGTTTCCGTGGAAATGTCTCTGGACGAGTGGAAAGCCCTGCAGGAACAGAACCGGCCCAAGAAGGAGTTCAACCTGCGCAAGGCTGATACCATTGTGCCCTCTGACTCTGTGGTCATCCACAAGTCTAAGAAACAGGTTGAGGTGAGGAATCTTGCACAAATGCTGCAAAAACAGGCTGCTTAATATCACTGCTTGTTTCTGTTGGACTGGATTTCTATGGTCTGCTGATGGTGCTCATGCGTCTTGTTTCTCTTGATCAACAGGAGCACGTTGAGGAGATTGAGGAGGAGGATGACACTGCATCCCTCCGTCGCCCTGCCAATGACATCACGGCCAAACTGAAGATTGACTTTGGCAGCCTGGGACGACCCTCACGGGGGACCAGAGGAGGAGGAAGAGGTGGACGAGGTGGCCCAGCCACACGGCCTGAGACCATTTCTCCCCAGAAGCCTCCTGAGAAGGTATGTCTGGACTGCATGGGTCCTGTTAGATATACGTCTAAGGCACTGCATCGCAGTGCTAGCTGTGCCACTAGAGATCCTGGTTCGAATCCAGGCTCTGTCGTAGCCGGCCGCGACCGGGAGACCCATGGGGCAGCGCAAAATTGGCCCAGCGTCGTCCAGGGTAGGGGAGGGAATGGCCAGCAGGGATGTAGCTCAGTTGGTAGAGCATGGCGTTTGCAACGCCAGGGTTGTGGGTTAGATTCCCACGGGGGGCCAGTATGAAAAAATGTTTAAAAAAATAAAATAAAAATGTATGCACTCACTAACTGTAAGTCGCTCTGGATAAGAGCGTCTGCTAAATGACTAAAATGTGAATGGGTTTCAAACCATTGCCAAGGGCAGCAAGGATGGTGGGCAGGTTCATTTCACCCTGGTGCCTTTTTTTTCTGCCTATGCCTCATTCAGTTGTGAATCGCACTGCAATTGGCCTTTGGGTAGCATGTTCCTTACCCATGTGCTGATACACAGGTATCCCAGGGTATCAAGTTGACTGTGATTGATTCTCCCTAGGCCCGATTCCAGCAGGGACAGGCCCCAAACCCTGATGACCCAGAAGACTTTCCTGCCCTTGCCTAAGGGAAGAGGACCAGCACTGGACCAGAGCCCAGTCCACAGGTGGCCCTTTACCTGTACTGTGCCTTAGTGGATTTGGCTGCACTTCCCAAGAGGAGCAAGAAATATACTGGTTTTGCTCGTATACATCCCAAAGGACTGTATATATCAGAGTTCCTATCTGCTCTCTGTATAGTTCAGATGAATAGCCTTTCATTCTAATGGGAAATATGAATACTTGACCTGTTTATAAAAAATAAATACTGTTGACATTAACACATGACTTGGGATACTATTTGTACAACCACAAGCGTAAACCAACAGTGATAGACCCCTTATTGTTTCTCCAGTGATGTCATATCATTGAAGCACATGGATTGCTTTAGTTGAATGGCCATTTGTGCCAGTGCCTAGACAGGTGTGCCTTTGTCAGCCACAAGGGGGAGCATCAATATTGTTGTTTGAGTCACTGCAAGCCATCTCAAATCTGCCTCACTTTCCTCACAACAAACAACCCATCTAAATAAGAAAAAAATGTTTAAACTGCATGCAATACTTACTCCTTCACAGTAAATGATTAGTTTGGTGTTCATCTTTATTGTAGGATATCTATTTGACAGGTTTTAAAAATACTTTCTCTGGACATGTAACCTGCATGAGTAGTCCATAACAGAGCGCCTCTACCCTGCTGTTGACTAGTAGTAATGAACTAGAATGCATGAGCGCTTCCTGACAAAGGCCTTTTATACCGGCGGTGCCGCAGCCAGCTCTACCACTTCCCCTGTGGCACAATCCCATGTTTGCTAAACTGGTCGGTCACTTGATGCCATTTTATTGAATTTTGTCTAACCTGTAGTGTTAATGCGCAAAATAATTTGTTTTCATGCATGTTAGGGTAACCCTGTCCCCTAGTGAGGAGATTCGGTTGTAAGTTCAACATTTTCTTTGCCCTTACTGTGCTTCTGAAAATGTTTGAATTTGTTGGTCAGGGAACAACTCCGTGGTCTGCTCATCAGTTGAGCTATTCATTGAATCTGACCTGTCTGATTTTCTTGGAAGGAAAGCGACAGGTAGGCTACATGAGGTCTGCTTCTTGGTGGTCACCGTGAGGCCTAACGAAGTCCCCTGGGCGTCTGAGATGCTGATGGATGGCCAGGGCCTCTGTTAGAACATTGATTTGTATCTCAAATCCTCTATCAGTTGTCCACACTGACTGGTGTCTGACCTTGGCTACAGACACCATTAATTAGAGTACTGAATAATAGTCTCACATGTGGACTCATCAATCAACTTAGGTTTATGAGAAATGGTTTTAATCGCAAGTTAAAGTAAATTAACGAAAGTTGATTTGCATGTAGGCCTACTCGAACTAGTGAATCATTTGAGAAAATTTAACTGGTTTAGAGAATGCAAGACTCCAATGTCTATTTTTCTTCCTGGAGGGCTCATTGTATTGATTAGCAGGTAAAGGTCAGGGTGGGGGGATGGCTGCCATCCTGGGGGTTTTAGAAGGGTTGAAATTTCATCTAAAGAAATCAAAACAAGCCTCTTAGACCCTATGGGGAGTGGCTCCCCATTACGCCCTGTTAAGGATGTGAGGGAAGTGTTTTCTTTTTCTCACAGGACAGGAGAGGGCGCTTGAGTCTCGTTCATCTGCCAATGACGCAGTCTGGTTATTTACAAGGAATTTCTAAATGCCCAAGTTAACATAAGTCAAAAGGCACTTAAAATGTAGTTAATTTCTTCATGTTAAGGTAGCAATTCAATTAATCATACCGGATAGCGCTCAGACATGTACATGTCACAAAGGGAGGGGGTGGAGAATGAGCATGAATAAATGACATGCTTTTCTGACCCACTCTAGGCTGGTTACAGTGCACAAAGACCACAACAGTAAGGTAATTTTTCTTGGCTCTATGCTAGTACTCTGATTATATCAGCTTTTTCAGGGAATGGTAAGTGTGTGTGTGGAGAACGTATTCTACTCTAATGGAGAGCATGTTACGGCCCTGCCAAGCTAGGACCTTGGGCCAGAAGATGAAGAGCAACATTTTTCTCTCTGAAAAATGTCTAATAAGATCTGCAAAGTGCTCAGATGGTAAAATCAATAGGCCCACTAAATGTAAATGCTGCCATAGCCACATAGCTGGTATACAGAGGATATGAATAGCAAACCCAGGCCTTTTAGGAATATTGAGATTGAGCTCACATGGATGTTTCTTTTCAGTAACAAAGATGAAACAATGATTAGGTCTACAAACTGTAACATTGCCAATGGTTTTACCCAATACAAGATAAGCAGTAACACTTATTTTGAAATCAAATTGACTTCAAAAGGAGCAGGGCCTCAGTTAAAATGTAAGGTTGCTGTTGGCTTTGTTCCCTGCTAAATCTAAAAGCCTTACGCTTGATAGTCACCTGATACCCCCTTTGAGTCTTTGAAGGGGTTATTTTTATTTTGCTCATGTTTTGAATAACATTAGCCAAATAATCCCTGTGATTGTTTAGCACAGTGCATGTTTAATTTAAGAGCCCTCATCTCACTGGCTAGTTTTATATGGACAGGCAGATGTACACCTAAAAACTACCAACATAACTAAACCAGACTTGTGCAGGTTAACAGTTTTGAATTGGTGTATGTAAAGAGACAGTACAGAGCTATAGACACAATTCACAGTTTGGCCTCAGCAGAGAACCCAGTACCAACAGAGGATCCCAGCCTAGAGGGTAATTTCCTGGCTGGCCTGTCAGGTGTTCTGTTAGTGAGGTAAACGTGGAGCCGTGATCCGTGAGCACACTGGCAGTCTCTGCCTGTCTCTGAGGAAACAATTAGGACTCTCTCTTCATGGAGTGGCATACCACCCTTACCTTCAGCAGAGAAAAAAATATCTCACACATTCACAATGTCAGGGAGTATTTAGCCTGGTTGGTCTTGTAAGTGCACTTGTGAACATTTCTTTTGTTTTCTGTTTTGCACACGCAGAGGCTACCAGTTGTGTGTTTTCTTGCGCCTCTGGGTTAGACAATTCTCCTCTGGTTCATCAGTATCTCAAATCAAATAAATCAAATGTATTGGTCACATACACATGGTTAGCAGATGTTATAGCGAGTGTAGCGAAATGCTTGTGCTTCTAGTTCTGACAGTACAGAAATATCTAGCAAGTAATATCTAACAGTTCCACAACAAATACCTAATACACACAAATCTAAGTAATGGAATAAGAATATATAAATATATGGATGAGCAATGTCATTGTCAGAGCGGCATAGGCTAAGATGCAATAGATAGTATAGAATACAGTATATACATATGAGATGGGTAATGCAAGATATGTAAACATTATTAAAGTGACTAGTGTTCCATTTATTAAAGTGGCCAGTGATTTTCAAGTCTGTATGTAGGCAGCAGCCTCTCTGTGCTAGTGATGGCTGTTTAACAATCTGATGGCCTTGAGATAGAAGCTGTTTTTCAGTATCTCGGTCCCAGCTTTGATGCACCTGTACTGTCCTCGCCTTCTGGATGATAGCGGGGTGAACAGGCAGTGGCTCGGGTGGTAGTTTTCCTTGATTATCTTTTTTGCCTTCCTGTGACATTGGGTGCTGTAGGTTTCCTGGAGGGCAGGTAGTTTGCGCCCGGTGATGCGTTGTGCAGACCGCACCACCCTCTGGAGAGCCCTGCGGTTGTGGGCGGTGCAGTTGCCGTACCAGGCGGTGATACAGCCCGACAGGATGCTCTCAATTGTATCTGTTGGTTTCTTCACGGCCAGAATCTACCAGCTGTTTTTAAAAGAGGCCTTTGTTGCCTGGAGAGAAGTCTCTCTTTGTCTCTCTCTCTCTCGTTCTCTATTTTTCTCTCTCCCTCCTTCCCTCCCTAATTTCTCCCTCTCTCCATTGTGGGATGTCTCTCAAGGTTACCCTTCACTGCAGGTGTATGTGAGCCTCAAAAAGAACCTGTTGTATTGATTTAGACTGGAGGGCTGATGCTGACAGCAGCCTTGAATCCCGAGGAACAGACAGCGGAAAGGAGAGACCCACAGGCAAAGGAAATGGATTCTTGAATTAAACCATATTTCTACTGTGGGTTATTTAACTGGCATTATATACAGTATTTTGGTTTGAGGGAATTATAGAGGTCTTGAGTCATAGATTTATGATGAATGAATATGGATATCTAAGTTTAAACCATACCTCATATACAGTAACTGCTGCTTGTATGCACCTGTGCATTAGAGTGTCTAATTGCAGAGTCCTCCGTAATGAACAGATGCCTTCAAGAAAGATATTAACACCACTAACAGGTGTCAGAGATGTAGAGATCTTCATTTGGGCTGATGGGAACCTGGCATAACACCACAGACACTGTAAACATATTAAGCTTTGCTTCAATGGCACAGTGACATATTTAACAGTTTATTACAATTATCAGAGGAGAGGATACAGCACTACTGAACAACAACATTCCAGCCTTGTTCATTGTAAGTATTTTCAGAACACATACAGTCCAGTATTTCAATTGGAAACTAAACTGGACAGTGGGGCATTGCCAAACTAAATTATTTGATCTGAGAGGCTGCTCTGTGTAGAGAGACACCCAGATAATGCAGTTTTTATCATTGGTTATGCGGTCCATCAGGGCGGGTCGTGCCGATCTATAGATCACAGTGGGACACAATGGCGCTCAGCACCAGGAGGAGTGGGAAAGGCTTCCTCCTGGTGTTCCTGAAATGAGAGATGCAAAGTGCTCTCGTCACGAAATGAAAGCCAAACCGGAGGTCTCTAAGCAGGATCTAGATAAACCTGTTGACCCAGGGAGAATGGGATGGGAATCCCAAATAGGACGGCAAGTCAAAACAATAGTGTCTATGTATTCCAGATGGAAATTATATGGGTAACAATAGGGCAGGTGTAGGCAAATAGATTCAGCTGTGGGACGATTTTCGTCAGAGTGATGGTCGGGGGCCAGAACATCATTATAATAATTTGTACGCCGCAGATTGACCCCCACTAAGCCCAGTAAGAGATTGTATTTGAAAATAGCAATCATTTCATACTTGATTGTATATACAGTGAGGGAAAAAAGTACTTCATCCCCTGCTGATGTTGTACGTTTGCCCACTGACAAAGAAATTATCAGTCTATAATTTTAATGGTAGGTTTATTTGAACAGTGAGAGACAGAATAACAACAACAAAATCCAGAAAAACGCATGTCAAAAGTGTTATAAATTGATTTGCATTTTAATGAGGGAAATAAGTATTTGACCCCCTCTCAATCAGAAAGATTTCTGGCTCCCAGGTGTCTTTTATACAGGTAACGAGCTGAGATTAGGAGCACACTCTTAAAGGGAGTGCTCCTAATCTCAGTATGTTACCTGTATAAAAGACACCTGTCCACAGAAGCAATCAATCAATCAGATTCCAAACTCTCCACCATGGCCAAGACCAAAGAGCTCTCCAAGGATGTCAGGGACAAGATTGAACCCCTACACAAGGCTGGAATGGGCTGCAAGACCATCGCCAAGTAGCTTGGTGAGAAGGTGACAACAGTTGGTGCCATTATTCGCAAATGGAAGAAACACAAAAGAACTGTCAATCTCCCTCGGCCTGGGGCTCCATGCAAGATCTCACCTCGTGGATTTTCAATGATCATGAGAACGGTGAGGAATCCGCCCAGAACTACACGGGAGGATCTTGTCAATGATCACAAGGCAGCTGGGACCATAGTCACCAAGAAAACAATTGGTAACACACTACGCTGTGAAGGACTGAAATCCTGCAGCGCCCGCAAGGTCCCCCTGCTCAAGAAAGCACATATACAGGTCCGTCTGAAGTTTGCCAATGAACATCTTAATGATTCAGAGGAGAACTGGGTGAAAGTGTTGTGGTCAGATGAGACCAAAATCGAGCTCTTTGGCATCAACTCAACTCGCCGTGTTTGGAGGAGGAGGAATGCTGCCTATGACCCCAAGAACACCATCCCCACCGTCAAACATGGAGGTGGAAACATTATGCTTTGGGGGTGTTTTTCTGCTAAGGGGACAGGACAACTTCACCGCATCAAAGGGACGATGGACGGGACCATGTACCATCAAATCTTGGGTGAGAACCTCCTTCCCTCAGCCAGGGCATTGAAAATGGGTCGTGGATGGGTATTTGAGCATGACAATGACCCAAAACACACGGCCAAGGCAACAAAGGTGTGGCTCAAGAAGAAGCACATTAAGGTCCTGGAGTGGCCTAGCCAGTCTCCAGACCTTAATCCCATAGAAAATCTGTGGAGGGAGCTGAAGGTTCGAGTTGCCAAACGTCAGCCTCAAAACCTTAATGACTTGGAGAAGATCTGAAAAGAGGAGTGGGACAAAATCCCTCCTGAGATGTGTGCAAACCTGGTGGCCAACTACAAGAAACGTCTGACCTCTGTGATTGCCAACAAGGGTTTTGCCACCAAGTACTAAGTCATGTTTTGCAGAGGGGTCAAATACTTATTTCCCTCATTAAAATGCAAATCAATTTATAACATTTTTGACATGTGTTTTTCTGGATTGTTTTGTTGTTATTCTGTCTCTCACTGTTCAAATAAACCTACCATTAAATTTATAGACTGATCATGTCTTTGTCAGTGGGCAAATGTACAAAATCAGCAGGGGATCAAATACTTTTTTCCCCCCACTGTCTCTTTTTGTATTTGTGGGAATACTTCTGAACAATTTCCTAAATTATAGATTTTTTGGCTGAATTCCTGGTGATTTTACTGTATTTCTTTTAACCTAAAAACCCCCAACGATTATTATTATTTTTTACTAAAAACTTTGGGGGCCCAAAGAAATCACTTGCAGGACGGTTTTGGCATACAAGCCGCCTGTTGCCGACCTCTGCAATAAAGCGAAGGCCTAATGTTGATACACGAAAGTGTCATAACTGAAAGAAGTTTCAGGGCATGGCTAAGGCACATGTGATGTGTGTGTGAGAGTGAAGATGGTGTGACAGACTTGCAGAGAGAAGGCAGGCCTGCAGTTAATAATCAGTAATTAATTGTAATTATGAAGCAGACAGCAGATGGAGAAGTCTGGCTGCATGGAGCATGATCCACTCCAGTGACTTGTCTGACTCCTTCAGCTCTCCTCCTCCTCCCACTGGTTAACCTGGGAGGTCACGAGGTCAGGTGCGGTTCCATTCCTCAGCCTGAGCCTCGACACAGTGACAGGATGAAACACAAGACGCTGCTGCTCATCTCAGCTCAGCTCTCATACTACTGATTTTAAGATGTAATCAACCGCTGACAGCCCTCTGCTTAAAGATAAACAGGAGGTTCTTAAATCTTCATTAGTCAGTGGCAAATTAGGTTTGCACACAGACACACACACACACACACACACACACACCCCAGGCATATCCATCACATCTTAACTGAAAACCATGGTAATGGTGTCTATTGATTTTTTTCTTCCCTGGACCAGTCAAGCATGTAGAGTTTGGGTGCGAGGGAATGAAATTACCTTCACTCTCGAGGTTGTCAGGAAAATGTTACACAGGAAAAGGCAATTTATTGTGTATGTGGCAAATACATTAATTTACATTCAACAACATTCTTGCCTATTAGCAGCTTTCATCAAGTCAGCAATTTCTCAGTGACATTTTTCTCTCATTAAAACCACTTGATAATAGGTCTTTACAACCTCCTCAAAACTGTAAGTCAGTCTCAGCCAAAGAGATACAGTACAGTTGGTCAGCTCAGCTCTCCTCTCCTCCCAGACTACGACAGACACACAGCTGTACTGTAGTGGTGAATAAAATCCAACCCAGGGCAGATTGGGTTGGTCCCTGCCTGCTGTGTGCATCTACATCCCCCCTCTGCTCTGCTCCCACTGAGCCGGCAGCTCTGAATCAGTAAACACAATGCCGCCTTTAATTAGCCCTCCGTTTCTAATTGATTAAAATTCCCTGCGGCGCAATTATGCTGCCATCGCATAGACATGCTTCTCTCTCTCTCTCTCTCTCTCTCTCTCTCTCTCTCTCTCTCTCTCTCTCTCTCTCTCTCTCTCTCTCTCTCTCTCTCTCTCTCTCTCTCTCTCTCTCTCTCTCTCTCTCTCTCTCTCTCTCTCTCTCTCTCGCGCGCTCTCTCTCTCTCTATTTCAGTGAGTCGTAATGAGACAGGGTGGTGTGTCAGAGTATTGAACCACTGCCAGCTAACTAGCACACAGGCACAAGATACTTTACCACATGGGTTGGCAGGGTGAAAGGAAACGGGCATAGCTTGGCTAATCTGCCCACCTTCTGCTGTGCTGTGCTTGCCTGAGCGCTGTGAAATCATGGGTGTTAAATGGCCACCTCATCATAATTCTGTGTGGGATGCGTCTCACAGCAGTGGTACAGCAGCTATGAGGTCCGTATTATTGGGAGAGAACAGGCCCATGATGAGAAGCCATTCCACCCCATTGAAATAACACTCAGGCAAATTACTCCAGGAACACGACTACAGGCTACACCCTCATCACATAGTCATTTCTCCCTGAGTGGCAATAAAGCATCCTCATGCACACAGACACCTCATGAATTTCAATGAGGTCACAATCATATCCGACTTTTAAACAATGGCTGAGGAGGACTTTTGATGAATGGGAGTTTCTTGTTCTGTGTGCTGCTTTTACTGTTTGGTTGATGATGACATTTCTGACCACAGTTGGACTGTGGAGGTTAGAACCCAGAGATGCACTTGAACAAAATCAGTATCACGTATACAATGTCCCAACTCAAAAACACCCTGTTCACTTATTCATTGACTTGTTTCATTGAGTTGTGCGTTTCAGCTCATCTAGCAGATCTAGCTGCTTTTCATCTCCTGTGTATTGAGGCACCAAGGCCATATTTAGATACATGTATTGAGAGGCAATATGTCCATTGTATTAGCATGCTGCAGCATTGAAGATTTCATGTTTGAATTATTATGCATGTTTGAGTTACTATGGCATAGAGTTTATTTTATTTTTTATTTTGTTGAGTACACGAGTACAAATATTCTTGATGTGTAAGAAGAATGATTCCATGCACCTGGTTACCAGGTTTGAATGACTAGGACCCCATTAATGACAACAATAGTTGTAGGCTGCAGTTACTGTGTGTCATATACAGATAGAGAGCATTTATTTGACCTGTATGACCTTTGTTTGAGGTCAGGACCAGGAGGACTATAATCTCTTTATCAATCTCCAGTCAGAGACGCAGTTGTGCTGCATCTATCCCAGCATGCTTCACTCTGGCTATCATGCCAAAACCAACTGATTCTGCATGTACTCAAGGAATAACTCAGACACAGTTTGACATTTGGCATATAGAGAAAAGATATTGGATTTATAATTGAATTAGTGTGTAGAGAACTCTTTCAGGGACTTGTTTCAGTGAAACAGAACAACAGCGTGTTTTTCCGCCTTCCATTTTTACTGAAAATACACTACTGCCTAAACCTTGGCTGTGGCAAGTGACACACGCATGGATTCCATTTACTATGACTGAAATCAGTATTTATCCAAATGAACAGTGTTGCATTTTATTACAGCTAGCCAGAGAGTTAACTTAGCCAATAACAAAAAGGCTGAGGCATATTTTCTTCTGTACATACATTTTCACTTCATTGAGGGTAAATTCACAGAAATAATATTTGCCGATATTAATGTTAATCTTTTGTTGAATGATATAATGATAATTACAGCATTTCCTTGACTATTATTTCATACCTCAGATTTCAGATGAGTCCTGAGGGAAAACACAGGATCCTGAATTACCTGGAGCATTTCTAAACGGCTCCATTTATTTCCACACATGATGACTGGATGGTTGTCTTAACCTGGCTCAGTTCTATGTGCTGGGAGGCACCAGTGCTAGCCTTAGTATTCCCCTCTTGCTTTTACTGTGTAATTTGATCAGGTTATTCATAACATTCAGCGGACGCCTCTCCCCAGAGTTAGCGTGACATTGCTATTTGCAGAGGATAAATGCATTAGCTGGCCCACTGCTAGGAAATTGAGCATTTAATATTTGCACTTGATGTGATGTACAGGTAACTGCCAAAATAAAGGAAACACCAACATAAAGTGTCTTAATAGGGCGTTGGGCCACCACAAGCCAGAACAGCTTCAATACACCTTGGCATAGATTCTACAAGTGTCTGGAACTCTATTGGAGAGATGTGACACCATTCTTCCACATGAAGTTCCATCATTTGGTGTTTTGTTTATGGTGGTGAAAAATGCTGTCTCTGGCGCTGCTCCAGGATCTCCTATAAAAGTGTTCAATTGTGTTGAGATCTGGTGACTGAGACGTCCATGGCATATGGTTTACATCGTTTTCATGCTCATCAAACCGTTCAGTGACCACTCGTGCCCTGTGGATGGGGGCATTGTCATCCTATGGGAGCATAGCCATGGTAGCCAAAATAATAGACTACCCAGCATTTCTAGACATGACCCTAAGCATGATGGGATGTTAATTGCTTAGGAATTGCACAGGAACACCACCTGTGGAAGCACCTGCTTTCAATATACTTTGTATCCTTCATTTACCTAAGTGTTTCCTTTATTTTGTCAGTTACCTGTGTATTAACAGACAGATTCTAAGGCACTTGGGTCCTCTATTGACAACCGAAGGGCATTTGGCATTTGGATGTAAGGGCAAAGCAGAGAGAGGGAGATATAATAATAACAATAATAACAACAACAATTCATATTTGTGTTTTTGTCTGTTGGAAAGGAAGCCTACTGGTTGCTGGCTCTAGCTTTACAGAGGTGAGGCAGTAGACAGCTATCAGCAGGAGCCCAGTGGCACAGCGTCCGCATGGCCAGCTAATTTCACTCACAAGTCACGCAGATTCAGTCAGTGAGGAAACGCTGAAGAAAATGGTACAGAAGAACAACAATGGGACAATCCCACAGACTTTAGCTGGCACCGGATAAATCAATACACTGGCTATTTCTCCACACCAAAAATGGATGATTTTTTGAAGTTGTACTTTTAAGGCCCAATCACTCTGAGCATCTGTTCACATACAGAATAAAGGCAAACATCACCTTCCCTGCACATAATAACTTACCTGCAGGCGTTATCTCAGCCCTGTTTCTTGTTCCCTTAGAATGAATGAAACTCTTTACCAAGGTATGTGCTGGTGGTGGTGGTAGTGGGATGAACAACTTAAAAGGCAGAGCCTAGGCACTACTGGTGCTAGGCTTGCTACATTCCCACTGGTATGGGATGTTTAACTTAATTGACACTGACTGGGTCACATTCAATATTGTCTGTGTAGGTGTTGTTTCAGTAACTCTGTACAGTGTGAGGTGTTGAGAGATGAGGAAGCCCCATATGCACAGAGCATCATGAGAAACCACTCTGACCCATGCTCTGCCCCCCTACCTCCCTGTACCACACTGAGTGACTGGTGGGTAGAGAAGGTCTCATATCCTGCCCAGTGGTCCCCACTGACTGTGCTGACATTCTTCCCAGGTTCATATGACTTCCCTGCTGGCGGCCATCTCAAGACCACCCTCCTTTGTTTCTGTATTGAGGAGTTCTGCCTCAATACACAGCAGTGTCTCACCATTCGCTAATGATTGTAATGTGTATTCTGCCTCCATGCATCCATTATCTGATGGGGAAATGGTTACAGGGTGTCCAAGGAGGGACAGAGCGTGGGGCGAGAGAACATTAGGAGAATGTAACAAAATACAGTGCAGGCAGAGATATGGAGGGAAGGAGAGGTTGAGGGGTGGATGGAAGGAAGAGTAGGCAGAGGAGGAGGTCATTAGACGGTGATTCATCCCCCTCTCTCTCTCTGTGGGATGGGTTTGTTAATCAGGCTTTGATAAGAGGACAGTATTCAGACTTGTGAATGGCTGATGGGGAACACGGCTCTAATGCGGCTGCCTGCGCCCACTCTCCTTCTCCTCTCCCTCTCCTCTCCCCAGCTTTGAGACACACAGGCGTGACATGCAGTAGCATGAGGACGGCGCTGCCTGGTGAACGACACCCTGGCACTGCTGGAGCCTTTACCTGTGATGATCACACTGTGTTCCCTGCGTGGTCAGGCCCGCTGACAGCCCTGCTCTAATGAACGCCCATCAGCAGGAGAAACCCGTCACTACAGGGTCACACAGGCTGGCACGCAGGAATGGAGTGAGAGATGGAGGGATGGAATAAGTCAAGCAAGGGGCATCATTTGGAGGAGGGCATGGAAGAAAGCGGGCAGGTGGCATTATTAGCCCTTTTCACGGAATTGTGTGAACCCACTGCACTTCCATGCCCCTGATCAATGCCCAATTCCCACTCTCATCTTGGTCAATAAATAATTAAGGCAGGGAAATTGGAATACAAAGACGTCAGGCCAAATGAATAACATAGACATTGATTGTGGTATAATAACAGGTTGCTTGTCATACTTTGCAAATGGGCTAATCTGTTGTCAAAAAGTCCTCCCAATAGAAATCCTGCATGTCCTGATTGCCTCCGTAGGATGTTGGATTACCTGCTCCCATCACAGCTGCAGGCCCTTGAGTAATTGGCACATAACTGCTTTCAACAAGCCTGTCTCTTATAGAATTAAGTGCTAATGTTGCATTACATTGCTCGAACCATTAGCCCAGTGAACCTGTATTGCTGTTCCCCATCAACCTTAATGCTATTGTTCCTCATCACATTGAGTGATCTGCTCATAAATGCTACCTGAGGTCTGAGCTGGGGCCCGCTGGTCGCACTGCCTGCTCTCATTATGCCTTGGGCTGTTAAAGGCCTAATGAGGTGGATTGAAGTGCTGTTATCCCCCATCAGGGCCCAGGCACATCTCAAACAGACCCTTTACAGTCCCGCTCAGCTCCTCACGGTACGTTGTTGTTCTGTTTAATTACAGCAAACGAGCAGCATAAGCTGGAGAGACAAGAGTAATGTCAGGGGTGGTTGGAGGGAGTTGTGGTTGTGCTGTGGATCCTTTCCCTCAGTTTATATAGGGTCAAACAGGCCTTGAGGCTGGTATTTCTATGAACAGTATATTGCTTATCATATTGAAGTTCATATATTGTCTACCCTATGCCTGCCGTTGTGGATCTAAGGGTGGAAGAGGAAGAAGACTGCAGGCAACAGTATGTCATAGTCAGTGTGTTGAGTGAG